CGCCCCGGGACGCGGCCGAGACGCGCCGGAGACGCGGGACGCGGCCGGGACGCGAAAAAAAAGACGCCAGAGACCACCCCAGGACCGAACCCACGACCACGAAAGACGACCCCGGGACCGAAGCCAGACCCGCGGGACGCGAGAGACGCGCGAGAGACGCAGCCCAGACGCGGGACGCCGGCCCAGACGCCGGCCAGACGCCGCCAGACGCGGCCGAGACGCCCCAGACGCGGCCAAGACGCGACTTCCGAGACGCGCCGGAGACGCCGGAGGACCTGGCGGAGACTGCCCGGGGACTTAGCGAAAGACGCCCAGACCGCGCGTTGCCTAGGGGCCCCTAGGGTTCAACCTCGTCAACATGCGGGGGCGAGCCGTCCCACGAGCGCTCCCCAGCGTGCTCAACGATTTTCACTTGCTCGAGCACACACCATGTGGGGGAACCTCTTGCGCCTGTTCGGCGGCGGCAAAAACGCCGTCGATGATGACGAGGGCCTCGCTCGGCGCCTCCACGACAAATGGAACCATCCCGACGACGACGAACAGCTCGCTCGACGCATCCAGGAGCGCGACGACGGCGCGCGCGCGGACGCGCGTCTCGCGCGCAAGATGCAGTCGCGTCCGTCCTGTGGCGGCATTCCCGTCGACGAGTCCGGCCGCCGCCGGTCGGTCGTCGACCTCGCGGAGAGCGACGACGACGGCGCCGCCGACGGCTCGCGCGACGACGCGGCGCTCGCGCGCCGCCTGCAGGCCGAGGCGGACGCCGATGCCCGCCGCCTGCAGGACGACGCGGCCCTGGCCCGCCGGCTCCAGACGACGCGCGCCGGCCCGAGCCCGGCGAAGAAGAAGGCGCGCGGCCCGCTCCGCGAGATCCAGCACCACGCGCCGGCGTCCGCCGCGGACAAGCGGGCCTTCGCCGCGGCGCGCGCGCGCGCCGCGCCGCCGCCGCCGCGGCCGGGCCGGAGCCTCGCGCACCTGCTCCTCGGCGGCGACGCGCCGCGGCGCGAGGTCGTCGGCGGCGTCGAGGGCCCCTTCCGCGGGGCCGCCGCCGCCGCCGCGCCGCCGCGCGGCGCGGCGTCGTCGCGCGTCGGGCCGCGCGAGCTCGCGGACTTCGCGCGCGACGGCTATGTGGTCCTCGCTCGCGTCGTGCCGTCGGCGGCCGCGGCCGCCGCCGGCGCGCTCGTCCGGTCCCGGGCGGTTCCCGGCGCCGCGACGGGTCCGGACACGAAGCTCACGAACGTCGCGGGCCTCGAGGCCGACCCGCGCGTGCTCGCGCTCTACGGCTTCCAGCTCCGCGGCGCCGTCGCCGCGCTCCTCGGCGACCACACGGCGCCGCGGAAGGCGCAGGTCGCCGTGCGCTTCCCCGACGGCTCGGGCCGGCCGCCGCGGCCCGTCGGCGGCCGCCGCTGGCACGTCGACGGCTTCCGCAAGGGCGAGCACAGCGCCTTCGACCTGCTCGTCGGCGTCTGCCTCTCGGACGTCGCGGACCTCGACGCGGGCAACCTCGCGGTGCATCCGGGCGCGCACGCGACGCTCGCGGGCGCCGTCCGCCGCGCGGCGCGCGCGGGCAAGGTCCGCGACCTCCACTACGACAAGGAGGATCTGGGGGAGCCCACGCAGCTCCGCCTGCGCGCCGGCGACGTCGTCCTCGCGCACCAGAAGCTCCCCCACCTCGGCGTCCCGAACCACTCCGCGGCGCCGCGCCTGATGGTCTACTTCCGCCTCATGAACAAGCGCGCCGTGCCCTACGACCTCCGCCACGCGGCCAACTCCCCGCTCCTCGACGACGTCCTCCTGCCCTTCGCGGCCGCCGCGCGCGCGCGCCCCGCCGCCGGCCGCCGCCTCGGCGCGCTCTAGATAGATATCTAACTTGAAGGCGCGCGGTCGGGGAAAGCCCGGGATTCTTACTCGAAGTCGAGCCGCAGCGCGGGCGGTATGCGGTCCGGGTCGTCGTGGAGGACCGCGTCGGCGACGGCCCGGCCGAGCTGGGCGTGGCGGAGGAGGCCGCGCGCGCCGAGCGCGCCGGCGACCCAGAGCCCCGGCTCGCGCCGGCCGGCGACGGGGAGGCGGCCCCGGTGCGTCCGGGGCCCGTTGAGGCGCACGCCCGCCGTCGCGCCGAGGAGGGGCGCGCCCGGCGGGAGCAGCGCCGCCGCGGCGCCCGCGAGGCCGCCGGCGACGAGGTCCTCCGCGGCGCCCGGCTCCGCGAAGGCCCGGGCGACGTCGTCGCCGTCGCGGACGTGGTCGTGCGTGGCGCCGAGGACCGCATCGCCGCCGCGGCCCGGGCAGAGGTAGGTGCCCTGGAGCAGCGCGGCGCGGCCGGCGCCGCCGACGACGACGGACTCGCCGCGCGTGAGCGTCAGGCCCGCGCGCTCCGGGAAGAGGTCGCCCCGGCGCGCGGCGAAGGCCTCGGCGCCGCCGGCGACGACGACGGCGTCGTGGGCCGACAGGAGCGCCCGCGGGTCCGCGACGTCGCCGGCGACGCGCGCGAAGGCGCCGCCGCCCGGCGCCGCCGCGAGCTCCGCGAGCGCGGCGAGGTACGCCTTCGGGTCGACGACTTTCCCGCCGACGTACTGCGCGCCGCCGAGGGACCGCGGCCGCCCCGCGGCTTCGGCGAAGGCGCCGGCGTCGAGCCACTCGAGCCAGGGCGATGCCGCCGCGGCGCGCCGGAGCTTCTCCGCGTCCGCGGCGTCCGCCGCGGGCCGGAGGACGACGTCCGTCGCGACGACGTTTTCGCCGGCGGCGGCCTCGGCGGCGGCGACGAGCGCGTCCGCCTCGTGCAGGGCCGCCTCGCCCTCCCAGGCGAGCTTGAGGGATGGCGTCAGCGGGTGGAGCAGGCCGCCGGCGACGGCCGACGCCGTGCGGCTGAAGCCCAGCGCCGGCGACGACCCGCCGTCGTAGACCGTCACGGCGCAGGCGTTGCGCCGCAGGAATGCCGACACGGCCATGCCGCAGAGGCCGCCGCCGACGACGCCCACGGAGAGCGGAGCCATCGCGCAGCGCCTCACTGCAAAGCGGTGCCTTCCATCGTCTGAGCTTTCGCCACTTCAACTTGAAGTTCAAGTCACTACTCCGGCCCTCTTCTTATCTTGCGGGCCGCGCGCTTGGGCGCGGCCCGGCCGGGCGCTCGCTCCCGCGGCAGCACAGCGCGGGGGAGGCGCGGCGGCTCGCGCCTAGGCGAGCTTGGCGCGGATGGCGTCGCACGTGGCCTTGGCGTCGCCGAGGAGCATGGCGTTGTTGGGCTTGTAGAAGACCGGGTTGTCCGCGCCGGCGTAGCCGACGCCCATGGAGCGCTTCATGACGATGGACTGCTTCGCCTTCCAGACCTCGATGACGGGCATGCCCGCGATGAGGGAGTTGGGGTCCTCGAGCGCGGCGCTGTTGACGGTGTCGTTCGCGCCGATGACCATGGCGACGTCGCACTCCGGGAAGTCGTCGTTGATGTCCTCCATCTCCTCGACGATCTCGTAGTCGACGCCCGCCTCGGCGAGGAGCACGTTGAGCTGGCCGGGCATGCGGCCCGCGACGGGGTGGATGGCGAAGCGCGTGCGGATGCCCGCGTCGCCGAGCGCCTTGGCGATGTCCGCGACGGCGTACTGCGCCTTGGCGACGGCGAGGCCGTAGCCGGGCACGATGATGACGTCGGACGCGTCCTTGAGCATGGCGACGCACTGGTCGACGTCGATCTCCGTGTGCTCGCCCGTGATCTCCATGGCCGGGCCCTTGGCCGCCTCGCCAAAGCCGCCGAGGATCACGGAGCCGATGTCGCGGTTCATGGCCTCGCACATGATGTGCGTGAGGATCGCGCCGCTCGAGCCGATGAGCGCGCCGACGATGGTCAGGAGCGGGTTGTCGAGCATGAAGCCCTCGGCGCAGAGCGCCCAGCCGCTGTAGGAGTTGAGCACCGTGATGACGACGGGCATGTCCGCGCCGCCGATCGACGCCGTCATGTGGAGGCCCAAAGCGCCCGAGAGGCCCGTCGCCGCGCCGAGGCACGCCAGGCCCGTCGCCGGCGACGGGTTCGCCATGAAGAGCGCGCCCGCGCCCAGCGACGCGGCGCCCATGGCCATGTTGATCTGGTCGCGGTTCGGCAGCTGGAGCGCCGCCGACCCCAAATTGCCGTTGAGCTTGCCGAAGGCGACGACGGAGCCCGTCGCCGTGATGCCGCCGATCCACGTCGCGAGGTAGAGCGACGCGTTCGTGACGCCGTCGATGGCCATGCCCGACGGCGGGCAGTGCTCCGCGAGGTGCATGTACTCGCCGACGGCCGTCGCCGCCGCCGCGATGCCGACGAGGGAGTGGAACGCGGCGACGGTCTGGGGCAGCGACGTCGGCCCGACGTTCGACGCGATGACGTAGCCCGCGCCGCCGCCGACGCCCAGGAGCCCCGCGATCTGCAGCGCCGTGCCCGGGTCCGGGTGAAGCGTCCCGAGCGTCGCGCCCATGCCCAGGGCGACGCCCGCCTGGCCCAGCGCGTTGCCCGCGCGCGCCGTGTTCTGGTCGCTCAGCCCCGCGATGCCGCCGATGCAGCACAGGCCGCTCATGAGCGACACGACGGGCGCGAGGTCGCCGAGGCCGGCCATGCCCGCGACGCCGTAGGCGCCCAGCGACCCGACGACGGGGATCGCGTAGAGCTCGTAGTGCTCGTCGGGGTCGTCGGGCCGCTTGAAGAGGTCCAGCATCTTCTTCGTCACGAGGAAGCCGCCGACGATGTTCACCGTGGAGATGCCCACGGCCGTCGCGCCGAGCACCTGCGCGCCCGTCGACGGCACGACGCCGCCGCCGACGAGCGTGAGGCCGCCGACGGCCGTCATGCCGCTGATGGCGTTCGTCACGGCCATGAGGGGCGAGTGGAGCGCCGGCGCGACGCCGAAGACCGTGTAGTAGCCGATGATCGTCGACAGCGAGAACGTCGCGAGGATCGGCGGCGCGATGCCGCCGCCGAGCGCGAGCATGGCGGCCGCGCCGCCGGACGTGCGCAGCGCCGACTGCATGTAGACGTCGTAGGGCTGCGGCGGCGGCGGCGGCGGCGGCGCCTCCTCGACGTCGGCCTCCGCGGCCGCGGCCGCGACGACGGGCGGCGCGGGCGGCGGCGGCGGCCACGTCAAGGACCCCTGGTCCAGGACGAGCATGCCGCGCACGGCCTCGTCCTCGTAGTCCACGGCGAACTCGTCCTTGACCTTGGTCGTGAAGGGGCCGATGCTCAGCATGAACTTCGTGATGTTGTTCGCGTAGAGGTCCGACGACGTCCGCGCGAGGCGGCTCGGCAGGTCCGTGTAGCCCAGGCACGTGACGCCGTTGGGCGTGACGATCCTGGCGTCCTTGACGGTCGTCGCGACGTTGCCGCCCGCCTCCGCGGCGAGGTCCACGGTCACGGAGCCCGCGCCCATCGCCGCGACCATGTCCTCCGTGATCATCACGGGCGCCTTGCGCCCGGGGATGAGGGCCGTCGTGATCACGATGTCGACCTCGGCGCACTGCTTCGCGAGCATGGCCGCGGCGGCCGCGTGCCACTCGGCGCTCATCTCTTTGGCGTAGCCGCCCGCGCCGGAGCCGTCCTCCTCGAAGTCGACCTTGAGGAACGTCGCGCCCATGGCCTCGATCTGCTCCGCCGCCGCCGCGCGGACGTCGAAGCCGCGGACGACGGCGCCCATGTTCTTCGCGGCCTGGATCGCCGCGAGGCCCGCGACGCCGCCGCCGAGCACGAGGACCTTCGCCGGCGGCACCTTGCCCGCGGCCGTCATCTGGCCCGCGAAGAAGCGGCCGAACTCGTTGGACGCCTCGACGACGGCGCGGTAGCCGCTGATGTTCGCCTGGCTCGACAGGGCGTCGTAGGTCTGGCCGCGCGACAGCGTCCGGGGGATGCAGTCCATCGCGAAGACCGTCGACTTCTTCGCCGCGAGCGACTCGACGAGCGCCTCGTTCTGGCCCGGGTAGACGAAGGACACCAAGGTCTTGCCGTCGCCGAGCTGCGCGACCTCGCCGGCGCTCGGGGGCCGCAGCTTGAGCACGACGTCCGACCCGAGCGCGGCGCCCGCGTCGACGATCGTCGCGCCCGCCGCGGCGTAGTCCGCGTCGGCGTAGGTCGCGAGGGCGCCGGCGCCGCTCTCGACGCGCACGTCGCCGAAGCCCGCCTTCTTCATCAGCGCCACCGTCGCCGGCGACGCCGCGACGCGCTTCTCGAGGTCCGTCGTCTCCTTGGGAATCCCGACGCTCAGCGTCTCATACTTGACCCCGCTGAAGCGCCGCGCCGTGACGCGCGCCGCCGCGGACCGCACCCATTGGACGCGGAGCATGATGCTCCCCCGGGGGCCCGGGTGGCCGCTGTGGCCTCAACGCGACCAAGATCGAGCGTCACAGGCCGCGACGTCTCAGAGTTTCCGGCGCGGCTTCAACGACATCACTCATGATGTGCTGAAGCCGACGCCACGATGCATGCACGAGCGAGAGCAAAGCCAGGTGCAAGCCTCTGGGCCTGTCCTTGGAAAAGTCCCCGACCCCGAACATGCGCGAACTACCCGCCCGGCTCGGCCCCGGCGTCGTCGTCGCGCCCGCCCGCGAGCTCGGCGAGGAGGCGCGCGGCCCGGCCGTCGCCCGCGGCGGCGCCGCGCTTGAGCCAGGCGAGGCCCGCGGCCGGGTCGGCGGCGTAGCCCGCGAGGGGCTCCCGCGTCGTCGGCGACCGCGCGTAGATGCCGTATTCGCCGAGGAGCGCCATGGCCTCGGCCTCGCCGGCGTCCGCGGCCTCGACGAGCCACGCCGCGCCGGCCGCCGCGTCGGGCGCGACGCCGTGGAGGCCCTCGACGAGGCAGCGGCCCCAGTCGCGCTTCGCGCAGACGCTGCCCTCCTTGGCGGCCTGCTCGAGCATGGACGCGGCCCTGGCGTCGTCGCGCGCGGCGCCCTTGCGGCCCGTCGCGTGATCGAGGGCGACGTCGTACATGGCCGCCGCGAGGCGCTGGCTCAGGGAGAGCTTGCCCGACCCGCAGGACGGACACGCGCTCGACGCGCCGCAGCTCGCGCAGGCGTAGGTGTTGCAGCATTCGTAAAACTGGGCCAGCGCCGACGACTTGCGCTTGCACGCCGGGCACGTCTGCTCGACGAGCCGCAGCGACTTGAGCTGCGCGTCGAGGGCGACGACGTCCGGCGCCTCGAAGAGGTCGATGGCGTCTTCGAAGGACGCCATGGTGCCAACCGCGACGATAGCGCGGCGGGGCAGCCCCGAATTAAACAGCAAACCGGACTTCAACAACTTTACTTCCGTGGCTATGGAGCCTCGTTGAGAGAGCCCCAGCCGCCATCGCTGCTGCCCGGATCGCACTCCCATGGGCTTCCGCGACTTCGTGCAGGCGCGCAAGGCGCGGGAGACGGCGGAGATCTCCGAAAAGGCGAGCCGGATGGGCTGCGCGCTCGGCGCGTCCTGCGCGAGCGACGACGTCGGCGCCGCCGACTTCGCCGACGGCGGGTCGCGCCTCGCCCGCAACTTCGACGTCGAGCGCGGCCGCCTCGCGGGGCGCTGCTACTGGCGCGTCGTCTTCAAGCCGCGCGTCGCGATCCGCGAGGAGCCGTCCGTCGACGCGCCGCTCGTCGGAGGCGCGGACTTCGGCGCGCTCGTCGCGAGCCGCGACGCCGCCGCGGCGACGACGCGCCGCGGCCGGAAGCTCAAGGGCACCTGGATCAAGGCCGCGGACAGCCGGGGCTGGATCTGCTGCGACCCGACGGGCACCAAGGTCGCGCACCTCGGGACGCTGCTCGAGCGCGCGCCGCCGGGCGCGGCGCCCGCGGCGACGGCGTCGAGCGCGGTCGACGTGTCCGCGCCGGCGCCCTTCGCCGGCGCCGGCGTCGTCGTCACGCGGACGCGGGAGCGCTACGCGTGGCGCGGCGGCGACGCGCCGCGCGTCAAGGCCGGCTTCCGCGCGGTAAACGAGGACGGCCGCGTCGCCGTCGGCGAGTCGCGCTGCGTCGTCGTCGTCCTCGCGGGGCCCGGCGCCGCCGAGGACCTCGCGGTGTCCCTCGTGGCCGCGTGCGAGAACGTCGCGGCGTGCCTCCTCCGCGCGGCGGGACCGCGCGCGCGCGCGCCGTCCCCGGGCGCGTGGCGACCGGTCGTCGACGTGATCGCGGACCACGTCGTCGCCGCACTGCCGGAGCCCGGCGACCTCTGGCGCGAGGCGACGGCGCGCGGCTGGCGGGACCCGGCGCACGTCGTCTTCGCGGCCGCGGAGCCTGCCTACGCCGCGGCCGCGCTGGACGCGGCCGCGGACTACGCGTCGGGGGCCGCCGCCGTCGGCGTCGGCTGCTGGTTCGCCCGGGGCCTGCCCGGGGCGGACGACGGCGCCTTCGCCGCGGCCGTCGCCCGCGCGCGGGCCGTGGCCGAGGACCCGAGCGCGGCGCCGCTCCGGTGCCTCGCGCGCGGCGGCGGCGGCGTCGCGGGCGTGCCCACGGCGACGACGGACTTTGGCGCGGCGTCGCGGCGCCGCGCCGCGGGCCTCGAGGAATTATGGGTCACGGCGCGCTGGCTCTTCCTCCGGGGCCCGCGACGCGCGCCGCCGCCGCTCCGCGTGTCGCTCGCGCAGGTCGTCAACCGCCACGGCGACGGGACCAGGCTCCGGGGTGCCGGCGACGAGCCCGACGGCGTCGCGCCGCCGCCGCCGCTCCAGCTGCGCCTCGACGAGCTCGAGGCGTCGGTCCGCGAGGCGAAGGCGCGCGGGTCGGCGCTCCACCTCTTCCCCGAGTGCTTCCTCCCGGGCTACGGCTACGTCCACCAGGCGCCCGACCAGCTCGCGCGGCTCGCGCGATCCCGCCAATGGCTCGAGGCCCGCGTCGGCGCCATCGCGCGGCGCCACGGCGTCGACGTCGCCGTGGGCTACGCGGAGCGCTCCTCCGACGGCGCGCTCCACAACGCCGCCGCGGTCGTCTCCGGCGACACCGGCCGCGTCGTGCTGCACCACCGGAAGCGGCGGTTGGTGGGAGGCGAGCACAAGTGCTTCGCCGCGGCGCCCGAGGCGCCCGCGGCCGGCGAGCCGCGGTGGCGGGCGCGGCTCCGGCGCGAGTCCGCGCGCCGCGCGGAGAAGGCCAGGGAGAAGAAGCGCGAGCGCGAGGCCGCGGCGGACCCGGACCTGCCGCCGCCGCCGCCGCCGAGCGGCGAGGCGGAGGAGGAGGAGGGCGAGGACCTGCGGCCGCTCCACGCGTCCGCGGCGTCGGGCGAAGAGCTCGAGCTCGCGCGAATCCGCGGCTACGCCGCGGGCCTCGTCATCTGCGCGGACGCGGAGGAGGACGACTTCGCCGCGGACCTCGCGGCCCGCGGCGCCACGCTCCTCATCGTCCTCGCGGCCGCCGCGTCGACGGACCCGGACTGGGAGCCGAAAATTGGGAAACGGTCCGCGGCGAGCCACGCGCCGGCGATCTCGCACTGGCTCAACGCGACGACGGCCGCGGTGCGCCACGGCCTCTTCGTCGCCTACTGCAACCTCGCCGCGCCGGAGTACGGCGGCTCCCGCGTCGTCGCGCCCGACGGCCGCGACGCCGCGGGCCCGCCGCTCCCGCCGCGCCGCGGCGCCGCGGACCTCCGGTCCCGCTGGGGCGGCGCCTACGACGACGGCGCCCACGACGCCCGCGACGACGACGGCGCCAGCGACGACGACGGACGCCCGGGCGACGACGCCATCACTCGGGCGACACTCGTCGGCGACGTCGGCTTCTCGCTGCGCCACCAGCTCGACTGGCGCCGCAGCAACCGCGTCGCCTGGCACATGCACCGCTCGAACCACGACTCCGACGAGGAGGGCGGGGACTAGGGTAGGCCGTTTACCAGTAGCCCCCGCGCGCGCGGCCGCGGCCGCCCCGCCGCGACCGGTTCGCGGGCCGTTTCTTCGCGCGGCGCGTGCCGCCGCCGCCCGCCGCCGCCTGCTGGCGCTTGGGCTCCTTGGGCTCGGGCAGCGCCGTCACGGCGCACATGGTCTCGAGGCAGTGGCGCAGGTCGCCGTCGTCCGGGCTCGCGAGGTCGCCCTTGAGCAGGCCCGAGACGCGGGCGTCGATCTTCTCGCGGAGGTGCAGCGCCAGGTCCGCGGCGTTTCGGGGCTCCGTGCCGCACTTGAGCCAGCCGTCGAGGAGGAGCGTGCCGTTGTCGAGCTCGAGCTTGTTGCCGCTGAGGAGGAAGGGCGCGAGCGGCGGCACGGGCGTGCAGTCGCGGACGTAGACCTTGGTCGTGCGGACGCGCTCGTGGAAGACGGCGAAGGGCGACACCCAGGAGGCGCCGCCGAGGCGCGCGGCGACGGACGACGGGTGGACGTGGGCGACCTGGGGCTCGGCCTTGTCGCCGTCCGGGTCGCGCACGAGCAGCTTGATGTTCTCCGCCGCGCACGGCAGCTTCGTCTTCTTCGAGATGGGCTTGGACACGTAGGCGAGCTGGGGGAAGAGCGCCGCGGCGAGGAGGGCCGCCAGCAGCGCATCGCTCGGCGGCGCCGCCGCCGACGGCCGCGCGCGCGCGCCGTCCAAAGCGAGCTGCACGCCGTCGCTGTCGCCGTGGCGCCGGCCGAGCATCTCGACGTCGCGCGCCCTCAAGCCCGGGCCGGCGACGAGACCCGCGAAGTGGAGCGCCTCGAGCAGCTGCCGCTTCAGCGCGCCGATGGCCTGGAGCGTCTTGATGGACAGGAAGCGGTCCCGCGCGAAGTCGAACTTCCGCGGGCCGAGCGAGTCGAACGTCTTGTACGCGTTCCGCACGCACAGCAGGTCGCTCGCCTCGCAGCCGTCCTGCGTGTTCGCGTGGCGCGGCACGAAGCCGCGCTTCGACGCGTCGGCCTCCTCGCGGCGCTCCATGGGCGACAGGAACGGCGACCGGTTGCCGAGCGCGGCCGCGATCGTCAACGCGTCGTCGAGGCACCCGTCGAAGCACGCCGCGAGCACGACGAGCTTCCCGAGGCGCGCGTCCACGGGCAGGCGCGCGAGGAGCGCGCCGAGCTCCGTGAGCTGCTCGTCGTCGTCCGCGGCCTCGCGCGCCGTCAGCGCGCCGATGGCGACGAGCCCCGACGCCGCGCGCGCGACCGCCGCGGGCTCCGGCGGCTCCGGCAGCGCCGCGCAGGCCTCCGCCGCCGTCCGCCCGGGCACGACGCCCTCCGGTAAGGCCTTGAGCCGCAGCACGAGCTGCTCGAGGGCCACGCGGCGCACCTCGGGCTCCGCGTGCGCCTCGAGCGGCGCGTCGCGCGGGAACAGGTGCACGGCCAGGCCCGGCCGCACGCGGCCCGCGCGGCCCCGGCGCTGCTTCGCCGACGCCGCGGACACGTAGACGTCGTCGAGCGACGCCATGTGGCGCGTCGCGTCGTAGCGCTCCTCCTTGACGCGGCCCGCGTCGACGACGAACGCGACGTCCGGGATCGTGATCGACGTCTCGGCGACGTTCGTCGCGACGACGACCTTTGTGGTGCCCGGCGGCGGGCTCTCGAAGACGCGGCGCTGCTCGTCGGGCGGCAGCGCGCCGTGGAGCGGCAGGAGCCACCGCGGGTCGAAGCGGCCGGACGCGCGCAGCGCCGTGAGCACGTCCTCGATTTCCTTGACGCCGACGACGAAGACGAGCACGGCGAGCCCGCCGCCGCCCGGCGCCGGCGCGTCGCGGGACGCGTCGCCGAGGCTCGCGCGCGCGTCCGCGACGGCCGCGTCGACGTCGCCGCCGCAGCGCACCGCGAACCAGTCCACGAGCTCGCAGACGAGGTCGACGTTGAGGCACGCCTCGTCGGCGTCCTCGAGCGCGCGGAGCACCGACGGCGGCCAGTTGCCGAAGCGCCGCGCGAGCTCGCGGGGGTCCCTGGGGACCACGGACAGGGGCATGCGGCCGCCGTCGCGCGACATGTCCGCCAGGCGCTTCGCGCGCCGCTCCGACGCCTGCGAGCTCCGGTGCCAGTCCGCGCCGCCGCGGACGACGTGGCGCGTCAGCGCCAGGGCGTGCTCGAGGAAGAGGGGCTCCACGGGGAACGCGCGGCCGGGGAACTTCACCGTGACGCAGCCCCGGCCAAAGTAGCCGCGGACCGCCTCCCCGGGCATCGTCGCCGACATGAGCAGAATCTTCAGCGGCGGCTCGCCCCGGGCGTTGCGCAGGCGCACGAGCTCCCGCAGCGCCAGGAGCAGGAAGTCGGCCTCGAGGGTCCGCTCGTGGACCTCGTCGACGACGACGTGCGTCACGCCCGCGAGGCCGTCCTCCTGGAGCCGCCGGAGGCAGACGCCCGTCGTGTTGAAGAGCAGCGCCGTGCGCTCGCAGGCGCGCGCCTCGCCGCGGATGGCGTAGCCCACGACCTCGCCGACGGTCTCGCCGCGCTCCGCGGCGATGCGGTCCGCGACGCCGATGGCCGCGATGCGCCGCGGCTGCGTCACGAGGACGTTCGCGACGACGCCCCGCGCCGCGGCGTCCTCGAGGATGTACTGGGGCACCTGCGTCGACTTGCCGCTGCCCGTCTCGCCCTCGACGAGGAGGCACGGCGCCTCGGGCGTCAGCGCGGCCGCGGCGTCCAACAGCCGCTGGCGGTACTCGAAGACGGGCAGCGACCGCCGCGTCGCGCCGTGGGGGTCGCCGCGGGGCGGCGCCGGCGGGAGCGTGAGGATGGACGACGCGCGGCCGCCGCGGCGGCCGTTCCGGGCGCCCGGGCCGTCGCCGTCGCCGTCCGAGTCGCCGTCGACGTCCTCGACGAGCGCGTTCAATCTGCTCCGCACGGACGCGGCCGCGGCCGCGCCGACGCCGACGACCTGCAGGGGCGGCGCCCAGGGCCCGCCGCCGCGGTCGTAGAGCGCCGCGCCGCCGGGGAAGACGCCCACGGGCGCCGCCGCGCTCTTCGTCGGCTCGACGTACGCGTCGGGGTCGTAGCCGACCGCGGCGGCGGCCGCGCGGAGCCGCGGGTCGCAGAGCCGCGGGATGCCCCCGGCCTCGTTGGGCGCGAGACCGGCGAAGCCCGCGCGCCCGCGGTTCCGCTTGCGGTGGGCCTTGCCCTCGATGTGCTGCGCGAAGGCCTTCTCGCTCGAACTGTCGACGCCGCACGCCGCGCAGCGCAGGTAGTTGGCCTGCTCGTGGCCCCCGGCGCGCGTCGTCGAGAAGGCGCTCGGCGCCGGCGCCGCGGGCCGCCGCGTGAACGCCGCGAGCGACGACAGGAAGGAGCCCGCGACCGGCGCGCACGCCGCGGGCCGCGTCGGCGGCGGCGCGTACGCCGCCGCGGCGGGCAGCGGCGCGGGCGCGGCCCGGCGGGACCGCTTCGCGCCGCGCGACGACGACCGCGAGCGGGACCGCGACCGCGACCGCGACCGCGACGACGACCGCGACCGCGACCGGCGGCGGCGCTTCTTGCTGTGCTTCTTGCTGCTGCGCTTGCGGTCGCGCCGGTCCAGCTCCTTGCGCTCCTTTTTCAAGCGCTTGCGCTCCTTTTCCACGTCGCGGAAGCTGTCGCCGCCGCCGCTGGGGCCGTAGTGACTGTCGCGGCCCATCGCTGCGTGCGCGAGGGACGATGACGACAACGTTCGCCGAATCGAGTTTTGCCGCCTGTCCCGCACCTCGAGCCCTCGCCTCCCCGACGACGCCTCACCCACCATGCCCGGCGACACCCCCGCTTCGACGCGGACGGAGTCCGACTCCTTCGGGTCCCTGGAGGTCCCGTGCGACGCCCTCTACGGCGCCCAGACGGCGCGGAGCCTCCTCAACTTCGACATCGGCGGCGAGCGCGCCGTCATGCCGCGGCCGCTCATCCGCGCCTTCGGCGTCGTCAAGAAGTGCTGCGCGACCTACCACGGCCAGTCCGGCGCCCTGGCCTGGGACGTCGCGCGGGCCATCGCGGCCGCGGCCGACGAGGTGTCGCGCGGCGACCTCGACGGCCACTTCCCGCTCGTCGTCTACCAGACGGGGTCGGGCACGCAGACGAACATGAACGTCAACGAGGTCGTCGCGAACCGGGCCATCCAGCTCCTCGGCGGCGTCGTCGGGTCGAAGGACCCCGTGCACCCGAACGACCACGTGAACATGGGCCAGAGCTCGAACGACGCGTTTCCGACGGCGATGCACGTCGCCGCGGTGCTCGAGCTCGAGGCGCGGCTCCTGCCCGCGCTCGACGCGCTCGGCGGCGCGCTCGAGGCCAAGGCGCATGCCTTCGCCAAGATCATCAAGATCGGCCGCACGCACTGCATGGACGCGACGCCGCTCACGCTCGGCCAGGAATTCTGCGGCTACGCCGCGCAGGTCAACCTCGGCGCGGCGCGCGTCCGCGGCGCCCTGCCGCGGCTCCGGAAGCTCGCGCTGGGCGGCACGGCCGTCGGCACGGGCCTGAACACGACGCGGGGCTTCGACGTCGCCGTCGCGAAGCTCATCGCCGCGGAGACGGGCTCGTCGTTCGAGACGGCCGAGAACAAGTTCGAGGCGCTCGCGGCCCACGACGCCGTCGTCGAGGCCCACGGCTCGCTGAACACGGTCGCCTGCTCCCTGAACAAGATCGCCAACGACCTGCGGCTCCTGGGCTCCGGGCCCCGCTGCGGCTTCGGCGAGCTCTCGCTGCCCGCGAACGAGCCCGGGTCGTCGATCATGCCCGGCAAGGTGAACCCGACGCAGTGCGAGGCCGTGAGCATGGTCGCGGCGCGCGTCTTCGGCAACCAGACGACCGTGACCTTCGGCGGCGCCACGGGCCACTTCGAATTGAACGTCTTCAAGCCCGTCATGATCGCCGCGTTCCTCGAGTCGGCGCGGCTCCTCGCGGACGCGTGCGACTCCTTCCGGAAGAACTGCGTCGTCGGCGTCGTGGCCAACGAGACGCGCATCGCGGCGCTCATGTCGTCGAGCCTCATGCTCGTCACGGCGCTGAACCCGCACATCGGCTACGACAACGCGGCCAGGGTCGCGAAGAAGGCGCACGCGGACGGCACGTCGCTCGTCGAAGCCGGGGAGGCCCTCGGCCTCTTCACGGCGGCCCAGTTCGGCGCCTGGGTCCAGCCCGCGGCCATGATCGCCCCGCGCGCGAAATGAATTAAATTAGAGCGGCCGCATGCCCGCGAGGAGGCGCATCTGCTCCCAGGCGAAGTAGTGGACGAGCGCGTAGGGCCCGAAGCGCGCCCACTGCGCGGAGAAGCCGCGGAAGAGGCCGCCGGGCCCCCGCGTGGCCACGATGTGGCCCAGGGCGTGGCCGAGGTGGCGGAAGGTGCCCGGCTCGCTCGCCATCCAGAGCACGCGCGCGTTCGTCGCCGGCGACGTCGCCACCGTGATCGCGAGGCCCGCGGCGACGGCCGCGGCGCCCTGGAGCGCGTAGCGCTCCGACGGCACGTCGTCGCGGAGGCCGCAGCGCCGCCGGAGCTCCTCCTTGACCTGGTCGTAGCAGGCCATCTTCGTCGCGCCGAGGCAGCACGCGCGGAGCACCGTCGCCGACACGCCGCGGTAGAAGTTCAGGGGCCAGGGCCGCGCGGGGCCGCCGGCGACGGCGCGCGCCTGGGCCGCGAGGGACTCCGGTGGGCCCGTGACGGCCATGGCGCGGATCTTGAGCAGGTCCGTCGGCGACGCGACCGCGGACGCGAACGCGCCGGCGCCGAGGCCCGCGAGGACTTTTTTGTGGAACGGCGCGGTCCGCGGGTCCTCGGCGCCGAGCGCCTTTTTGAGCGGCTCGTAGAGGCCGAAGCGCAGGCTCGTGTAGCTCAGCTCCCGCAGCCCGGCGGCGGCGAAGCCCCGGTAGAGCGACGCGACGCCCTCGGCGCCGACGATGGCCCGCGCCGTCGCCACCATGTGCAGCGGCTTGGACGCGAGCTGCTGCCGCACCATCGTCGTCTCGATGCCGTGCACCGTGCCCTGCGCGACGAAGCCCGCGAGGCCCGCGAGGCCCAGCTGCCACGCGAGGCTGTCCTCGCGGCCGCCCATCGTCTCGGTGACGAGGCCCCAGGGCTGCTTTCAAGTAAACATGGTTGATTGAAGTACAAGGCTCGATATGAACCTAGTGTAGCTCGGCCAGCCGGGACGAGGCTATGAATTATGAGAGAACCAAGAAGAACACAGCACGAAAGATCGCCCGGAGCCGGACTACCCGTAGATGTAGTCCACGAGGACGCGCTTCTGGACCCGGTAGGGCGCCGGCGCGTGCTCGAAGGTCGGGTTCGTGTCCACGCCGAGGACCGTGATCTCGCAGGGCGCGTCGTAGTCGTTGTGCTCCGGGCCGTAGTTGAAGCCCGGCCGGACCCAGCGGATCTCGCCCCGGCCGACCGCGCGGTCGGTGCAGTCCGTGCCGCAGTCGCCCACAAAGTACATGCGCCCGTACAAAATCCAGTAGATCGCGCCCGTCGGGTGGTAGTGGAACGGGATGGAGCAGTTCGCCGACCAGCGCACGCGGAGCACGGGCGGCGAGTCGCCGACGCCGTCGAAGAACTTGTTCCAGACGCCGCCGTTGGCCAGGCACTCGGCGCTGTGGTTCGACGGGTTCTGCTGCCACGCGACGTCGGCGCCGCGGTAGCCGCGGAGCTTGGGGGAGCTCGCGTTGCCATAGGTCTCCACGCTCGGGTTCGTGGCGACGCGCGCCGCGGGCGAGAAGAGGTCCGCCGGCTCGAGGCGCGGCCCTCCGGACACGGCGCTGATGACGGCGCCGCCGGCGGAGTAGATGGGCCCGTGGGCCATGCCGGCGCCGGCCCAGAGCACGTCGCCGGTCTCGTAGGTCGGCCCGCCGGCCTCGAAGGTGACGTTCCCCGCGGTGACGCACCAGTGCATCGGCACGTCGAAGGCGAACCTGCCGTCGCCGCCCCGCCGCGAGCCCAGCGTCGCGCCCGCGGCGAGTTTGAAGCGGACGGCGTTCGGGGCCGCCAAGACGACGTCGTAGACCCCGTGGGTGCCCTGCCAGATGCGGCCCTCGACGCCGTCGGGCAGCCCGGGCACCGGCTGCCCGTCCTGCGTGGTGTAGTAGCGCCAGTCGATGCCGCTGCCCAGCTGGGCCGTCGCCGTCGCGACGAAGAGGAGGCAGACGGTCCTCTTCATCATCATGACGGCGTCGCGCGCTCGTGGAGCCCGAGTACGACGAACGGCGACAGAACGCGGCCGCGGTCGTGTCAATTCTCTTCGATGGCCCGCGATCCCGGGCGTCCAATCGGGGCCCGGGGCAGCAGCATGTTGGGTGCGCTGTGCACAGTGCTGTGCAACATCGGCAAGCGTGACGGGCCGTGGAGCTTCGACGCCTTCGCGCCGCTGCGAATCCCACGCGTGGACGGGCCGTGGAGCTTCGACGCCTTCGCGCCGCTGCGAGACCCACGCGTGCGCGCGCGAAGTCGGCTTTACGAACGCCGGAAGGTCGCGGCCGCCGCTCCGCCCGAGTTTCACGAGCCATGCGCCTCGCCTGGGCTCTCCTCTGCGCCGCCGGCGCCGCGCAAGGGACGACCTGCGCGCCGCCGTCGGCCGGCGTCTGCCACGAGAACGGCTACCCGCTGCCCGGCGTCAACGTCGACGACGACTGCTGCGCGGCGGCGGCCGGGGCGTCCTGCGCGCCGGGCTACAAATACAGCCGGGGCGCGGTCTGCGACCGCTGGGACGGCGGCGAGTCCTACGCGGTCTGCTGCGAGCCCTGCGCGGCGGGCGACGACTGCGACCCCGGGCCCGGCGCGACGTGCGCGCGGCCCGACGAGGCCGTGTGCATGGAGCGCGGCTACCCCCGCATCGGCGACAACGTCGACGCCGACTGCTGCGCGCTCGAGGGCAAGGGCTGGTGCGCCGAGGGCTACGGCTACACGCAGGGCGACGCGTGCTACAAGACCGACGACTGGACGGCGGTGTCGACGTGCTGCCAGCCCTGCGACAACACGACGGGCTACTGCGAGGACGGGCCGGGCAACGACCGGCCGCCGCCGACCTGGCGCAAGGTCCTGATCTTCCTCACGGTCGTGCTGCTCCTCTGCGGCGGCGCCGTCGGCGGCGTCGTCGCCGCGATCTGCTGCTGCTGCAAGACGCGCTGGACGCGGCGCGCCGAGGCCGGCCTCGGCGCGCCGCGGCAGCCGTCGTCGCCGGGCTACGTGCCCGTGGAGATGGCCACGGGCGTCGTCATCGGCGCGGACCCGGACGCGGGCCTCGAGATGAACGACCTCCCCGGCGTCACCAACCCGTTCCACGGCGACGTCGCCGGGATCTGAATTTTTTTTGTTAAACGAGTACGCCGCTTACTTGTCGAAGAGCCGGTAGAAGTCGCACGCGTCGATGACGCCGCGCGGCAGGTCCGCGGCGTTCTTCGCCGTCGCCGTGAGCGTGATGGCCCAGTACTGGCCCTGGTCGCCGCTGTGCACCGTGAAGAGGTCCACGCTCGTCGTCGGGCCCAGCGAGCTCTCGACGACGTAGCCGCGCCGGCTCCCGAAGTCGCGGAGCGTCGTCTTCGCGACGGACGCCTTCGGGTCCACGGTCATCTCGACGACCTCGTCGGCGGAGATGGCGCGCTCGAGGTTGTTGTAGATGTCGTTCGACGGCACCATGCGCGCCGCGACGGCGACGGACGCGGACCCGTCGCTCGCGCCGCACGTCGTCACGCGCCGGCCCGTGATCAAGCTCTCGAACGCGCCCGTGCCCTTGCAGCTCCAGCCCGACGGGTAGGGGAAGCGCAGCGCCAGCGTGCCGTCGTCGAACTGGGACAGCGCCGCGTCGGCGGCGACGGCCGCCGGCGGTGTTGCGAGCGCTGCGAGCGCCGCTGGTGTGTGTAAGACCTTCCTCCGGCTCACGTCGAGCGCGTCGGCGCAGAGCGCTGCTGCGCAGAGGGTGAGCGCGAGCATTGGCCGCTCGGCTGCTATCTCGCGCAGATACTTTTTAGCTGGTCGTGCAGAGCATGAAGCAGCCCGGTTGCCGCTTCGCGTCGATAATTTCGTCTGAGACGCCAAAAGGCCAGGGGGCGGCATGGCAGCCCCCGTGGGGTCCAGGAACCCTCTGAGCGGTGGAAAAATTACGCGTTTCGGCACCGGATCCGGTGTCTCGTGCCGCGCCACCGATTTTTTCCACGGGAGAGCTTGCTGCTGGGCCGCGTTCGAGAGGAGCTGACGGGCGCGGGCGGGGACGCACCGCCCGAGTATGGTCGAGACAGAGTCTTTCGGCTGGACCTAAAGGCGGTTCCGGCCTCGGAACCGGTGCCCCGAGGGGCGCCAAGCTTTAGGTCCAGCGATCTCGTCCTTGTTTTGACGGTAACGGGAGCCGCCGCGGGCCGCGACGGCGCCCGAGCCCGACCAGACGAGCTCGACCATTTCGAGCCCCGCGACCTAACCCTTGCACCGAGGCGATGCGTGGGTGACGATGAACGATCTCTGGTGCTGCGAGGGCTCAAATCTAGCTCGAAGGGGTCGGGGAAGCCGAACGCGCCCCATCCCAGCCCATAAAACCTCTCGTTCGCGTCGCCCCGCAATCGGCTCGATGTCGAGTTTTCGCCGTTGCCTCGTCCGTACGCGCGCGGTCAACAAAGCCACTGGGATCGTGGTACGTCGTTGCATTATGGCTGGGCTGTGGGTCTGAGAAGCTGATGGATTCTCCATCGCACGCTCGAAAACGTGCTCGACGTTTCGAGCGAGTGCAACCGGTAAACATGGGCTCAGACGTATCTGCGCGCGATAGCTGCTGGAGCGCTCCCGCCCGCGCCGTGCAGCGAGGCGAGGGGCTGCCTCAGCTGCAGACGCACAGTGCATGTCGAGTGCCGGGTCGAAGCTGCAGGCCATCGTTCGCGCGATGGCAAACCTGATGGGTTTGAGCATCTTCGAGCTCTACGGCGGCAGCGCATAGATCTACTGCTCGTTCGCCCGGGGCGCGTCGCAATGGTCATGTGCCCCTCGCTGTGCCCCTCGCGTGCAACGCCGCCGTCGTGCCGCACGGCCGCGGCGGGGCTGCCTGTGGAGTTTGTAGAGATCACAGTCTCCGTTGGTCGACTGCTACCTCGACGCGCTCAAATTGTGCGCGATGCTCGCCGCCGCGCCCGTGCGGCTCTGGCTCTTCGACAAGTCGGCGGTGCCCACGCGCTGCTACGGCGAGCTCGCGGTCGCCGGCGCGCCACACTACGTCGTAGTCGACGCGCCGCTCTTCTTCGCCGACGTGATCTCATGCATTGACAAAAATTTCAGCTCCTTGGCCGCTGAGGCGTACCGGCCGGGCAACGGCACGGGAGTATTCTCCTCCCACTGCGACTACGTCAAGGTGGTCCTGAACGGGTCCGGCTACTCGTACGGCGGGGCCTCGGCCGCGGGCCTCCGCGTCTTCGACGCGGCGTTCGGGCCGCTCGCGGCGAATCTCAAGAAGAAGAACCTCACGATCCCGCAGTGCACGCTCGGGATCAACGGCGACGGGCGCCAGTTCCAGTTCCACGTCGACGACATCACGTCGGCGGCGCGCTGCGTCTTCGCGTGCGGCCCCGGCGCCAAGGCGCTGGCCCAGCGGCTGTCCCGATTCCACGGCGGCGTCGTCCGCACGATCCTCGTCGACGAGGGCGCCGTGCTCATCATGCCCTCCTACGTCATGACCAAGAACCCCGGCAACGTCGACGGCCACTTCGCCCAGGCCTACGACGGCGACGTCGCGGCGTCGGACTACATCATGCATTCGAAGCTCCCCGACGAGTTCGTCGCGTCCCTCCTCGGCGTCGACGGCCCCTGTTCGAACACGGGGGTCTTCGACGTCGCGGACGCGAGCGGCGCCAAGGCCTACGACCAGGTCGCCGGCGAGATCGCCTGCTCCCTCCTCGAGGTCGAGGCGGAGCTCGCCGCGGCGCCCCGCTTCGACGCGCGCGGCGCGCCGTCGGCCGAGGCGCTGCCGTCGCCGGCCGCGCCCGAGGCGCGGCGCTTCGAGGACTGGCTCGCCCTCATGCCAAGTGCGAAGGACATGGAGGCGAAGATCGCGGCCAAGCTCGCGGACCGGGCCGCCGAGAAAGCGGAGCGCGACGCGGAGCGGGCCGCAAAGCTCGCGGCCAAGCTCGCGGACCGGGCCGCCGAGAAAGCGGCGCGCGACGCGGAGTGGGCCGCAAAGCTCGCGGACCGGGCCGCCGAGAAAGCGGCGCGCGACGCGGACCGGGCCGCCAAGCTCGCGATGTGGGCCACGGAGCGGCTCGCGATGTGGGCCGCGGAGGACGCGGCGCACGCGGCGGCGGCCGACCGCGCGACCAAGGACGCGATGTGGGTCGCGGAGAAAGCGGCGCGCGACGCGGCGGAGAAAGCGAAGCGCGACGCGGCGCGCCCCGCGGAGCAGGCCGCCGCGAAGTGGGCCGCCGCGCGCGTCGCGAGGCTGATCGACGGCTCCGCGGAGCCGGCCGCCGCGCCCGTCGCGGAGCCGGCCGTCGGCCTCCCGCGGCCCTACGTCGACCGCCGCACCGCGCCGTGGCGCGCCGCGCCGCGCCGCGCGGAGCCGGCCGCCGCGCCCGTCGCGGAGCCGGCCGTCGGCCTCCCGCGGCCCTACGTCGACCGCCGCACCGCGCCGTGGCGCGCCGCGCCGCGCCGCGCGGAGCCGGCCGCCGCGCCCGTCGCGGAGCCGGCCGTCGGCCTCCCACGGCCCTACGTCGCCGCGCCCGTCGCGGAGCCGGCCGTCGGCCTCCCGCGGCCCTACGTCGCCGCGCCGCGGCGCGCCGCGCCCGTCGACCTCCCGCGGCCCTACGTCGCCGCGCCGCGGCGCGCCGCCGTCCGCTTCGATGGCAGCGAGGAGTCGGCCGCGCAAGTCCTCGCGGACTGCAACGCCACCCGGGCTTCGCGCGCGGCCGCGACGACCAAGGCGCGCCGCGCCGCGAGTGCAGTGCCCCAGTCCTCCGAGGACCTCTTCGCGCCCGGCGGCATCTTCTACGCCGGCCCGTAGGCCTCCCCGTAACCGAACTCCCAAACATTCGACATTCTAGGGCAACGTTGCCCTTTCGCGCCTTTGCCTTGAACTCTTTCTGGTCCGACGTCGTAGTACAACCGAGGTGGTCCGCGCAGATGGCTCACCAGCCCGGCTCGTGCCGGGCAAGTCTTGCACCATAACCGGTTGCAAGCGCCTCCTTGCTTGCTAAGTTGCATAACAAAGCAAAAAAACCGCTGCGAACGCAGCCAGCGGCGGCGTTCGAACGTCCACCGGCGGATTCGTTGGCGACGGCGCCGCGATGAACCCGAACGCGCAGGACTTTTGCCCGCGCGCGACGACGACGCCGCGCACGACACCGGCGGTGCCCATCGACGGCGTGTCGCGGTCGACGTGGCGGCAGCGGCGCCAGAGCGAGCGCGACAGCGAGCGGAACGGCGAGGCGGCGGGCGAGGTCTGCCGGTTCTTCCGCATGGGCCGGTGCAAGCACGGCGCGAACTGCAAGTACGTGCACGCGACGTCGCGGGCGCGCACGAGCCGGCCGCGGCGGGGCCAGGCCGGCGAGGCCTTCCGGCGCGCGGAGTCGATCATGGGCACGCCGCAGCTCGTGACGAATCGCGAGGACCTCGTCGCCGCGCTGCGGGCCGCGGGCGGCGACGCGTTCCGCGTCAAGGTCCACGTGACGGGCTGCGACTGCCACCGCGCCGCGGCCTTTGGCGAGGTCGCGCCGGGCCTCCTGGCCATCCCCGACAGCCGCGGGACGCGGACCGCGCTCCACGTCGCGGGCGGCGGCGGCCGCGAGGCGCTCGAGGCGACGCTCGCGGCGTCGCTCTTCCCGGACCCGCCCATCGACGACGTCGTGCTCAAGGCCAACTGCGCGCGCTGCGTGCTGGATTTGGAGCCCAACGGCACCGTCGCCGTCGTCGGCGACCGGAGGGACCTCGCGACGCACGTCGCGGCGTACCGCGCGGCCGTCGCCGACTCGACGTCGCTCCACGGCGACGCGGCCCACGCCGTCGCCGTCGCGCCCATCTCGCTGCTGCGCGCGGCCTTCCAGGCGCCCTCGCGCCAGTCCGCCGCGGCCGCGCGGCAGCTCGGCCTCCAGCTCGAGCCCTACGGCCTGCCCGCCAAGGCCGCGCCGCCCAAGGCCGACCACCACCTCCTCACCTTCCTCAACTGCCCCCAGGTCGCCGACACCGACGTCTTCGTCATCGCCTACGACGCGCGTCCTCGCCGCGTCGCTTCCTTTTTCGCGCGCCGCGCTTCGATTCGTCGCTTCCCCGCCGCAGGACGCGTCGCACTGGATCCTCGAGCTCCCGGGCGGGAAGCGGAACCTCGGCGAGACGGCCTGGGCCGCGGCGCGGCGCGAGACGTCCGAGGAGGCGCTGCTCTGGCTCGACGACGCGGAGCCCGCGGTCTCCTACGACCTCTCGACGATGCGGTGCTTCGTCGTCGCCGCGACCGCGCCGTTGCGGCAGCCGCCCGACGCGCTCGCCCGCATCGCGTCGGCGCTCGAGGTCGCGGGCCTCGCCGACGACCCGCCGCCGCCGCCGGGGCCGCCGCCGCCGCCGCCGAGGCCGCCGCCCGCGGCGCCGCCGCCGCCGAGGCCGCCCGGCTGACGCGGCGACGTCGCCGGCCCGTCGAGTCGGCCGCCCGACTCGCCTAACCTAGGACTGCACTGCGCTCGTTTGTATGGGGGTGCGCCGCTCGTAGCGCGTCGTGCCCGGTATCGACGTGCAAGGCGGCGAAAAATATTGCGACTCGCCGCATGGCTTCTTCAAGGAATATTTGGCTCAAATCAGTGCAAAAACCCAACCCTGTCAGGGAAACGATTTTGTGATGAACTCTAGCTCTCACCTTGCTGTGATGATGACAAGGAGAGCATGGTCGTCGTCGACGCGACCTACGCGAGCCACACGCTCCCTCTGCTGCGCAGCGTCTGCGCCGAGCTCGGCCTGCGGCTCGTCGAAGGTGACGACAGCGACGACGACGCGACGACCGTTTTCTGGCATTCGCTGAGCAATGCCCCCTACAAGGCGCGCCGCGCCGCACTGCGCGACGGCCAGTGGGTGAGCAAGCTCTGGGGCGCGCGGCGCGCGTCGACGAAGGCCGCCGTCGCCGACGCCTGCGGGAGCGCCGCGGGCCACCCGGCGACCTGGGTCCTGCCGCGCGACGCGCCGCGCCTCGCGGCCGAAGCGTCCTCCGGGTGGCTCATCGTCAAGCCGGCCGACGGCGCCAAGGGCACGGGCATCTGGCTCGCCCGCGACGCCGCCGAGGTGCTCGAAACCATGGACGACACACCGCGCGTCTGCCAGCGCTACGTGGCGGACCCGCTCCTCGACGGCGCCGGCCGCAAGTTCGACCTGAGGTTGTACGTTCTGTTGATGGAAGCCGGCGGCGACCGGCGCGCCTACCTCTGCCGCGACGGCCTCGTGCGGTCCTGCGCGCGGCCCTACGCCCCGCCCGACGCGTCGAATCGCGACGAGCGCACGATCCACCTCTGCAACACGGCCGTCAATTCCAACGCGTGCAAGCGGGGCCTCGCGGAGTCCGTCGCGGACGGCGGCGACCTCCGCCGGCCGGCGCTCGCGGCCTGCGCCGCCGAGGCCGCCGCGGCGCTCTGGGCGTCGCTCGACGGCGAGCGGCGGCGGCGGCCGGCGCGGCCCGGGAAAAACGAGTTCCAGCTCTTCGGCTTCGACGTCCTCCTCGACGCCGCCGGCGCGGCCCACCTGCTTGAAATCAACTGCAACCCGTCCATGCGCGTCGACGACGACCCCCAGGCGCCCTTCTCGCCGGATCGGCGCACCGTGTCGCCCCTCGACGAGCGCGTGAAGCGAAAAGTCCTCGGCGGCGCGCTCTCGCTCGTCCTCGGCCTCGGCGCGGACCACGCGGCCTGGTGGGACGAGCTGCCCCCGGCGCCGCGCGCGTCGTTCTTCGAGTGAGGTGTGGGTTCCTGTTCTTTTTTTTTTTTTTCTCGGCTTGTGCAAAGGGGGTTCGGCCGGCGCGTCGTCCATGTGGCGGCGTGGCATGAGCCCTCGAACGGCAACGACGGCATGTGCCGCCGGATCGAGCTCCTTGAAGTCGAAGTGCGTGAAGCATGCTCTGGGCTTGCAGCATGTGCAAGCTCTGGCTTGCCGTGGCGCTGGCCGCGTCGGCCCAGGGCAAGACCGTCGCCCCGCGCGCCGTCACGCTGAACAACCGCGAGAAGCTGCTGGCCGGCGGCAGCGCGCGCTTCGGCGCCCAGCTGGTCATGTACCCCGCCGACGCGCTGCGGACGCTGGCGCAGACGCGCAAGGGCGCCAAGACGCTGAGCGAACTGGGCGCGCGGACGCTCGTGAGCGGCTGCGCGACGACGAGCATGTTCGCCTTCTTCGTCGGCGGCCTCCAGTTCTCCATCTTCGGCGCGCTGCGGCCGGTCGCGCCCGCGATCGTCGCGTCGGCGTGCGCGAGCCTCGGGAGCAGCGTCGCGGGCATCCCCCAGGAGGTCATCAAGCAGCGGCTCGTGACGGGCATCTACCCGAACTTCGCCACGGCCGTGGGCCGCATCGCGCGGACCGAGGGCCCGCTCGGCTTCTACAGCGGCTGGCGGCCGACGGTCGCGCGGAACCTGCCCTTCGTCGTCATCTGCTTCTGCTCCTTCGACGCCCTCAAGCAGCGCGCGCTGCGGGACCGGCCCGAGGGCAGCTCGCTGACGTCGGCGGAGAACTACCTCTACGGCGTGAGCTCCGCGCTCGTGGGGGGCTTGTGCACGCAGCCCATCGACGTCATCAAGACGCGGCTCATGACGCAGGCCGCGGCCGTGGGCGCCGTGCCCTACGCGGGCGTCGTCGACTGCGTGTCGACGATGCTGCGCGAGGAGGGGCCCGGCGTCTTCCTCCGCGGCCTCGCGCCGCGGATGTCTTACATGGGCCCGCTCTGGGCGCTCCAGTTCGGCCTCAACGGCGCGGCGACGGACTTCATCAAGAAGCGCAAGGCGCTCAAGGAGGCGACGTCCAAGTAGGCTCTAAACTTAGTCGTCGTGGTCGCCGGATTTCGCGTGGTGGTCGCGGTGCACGCCCGGCGCCATCTTCCGCTGCGACGGCCGCCGCGAGTTCCGCTTCGGCGAGCGCATCTTCGACGACTTGCGCGAGCCGTCGGTGCCCTGCTTGCCGACCCGGTTCCCGTCCTTCTCCTGGAAGGACGCGCGCGCCTTGTAGTCGAGGGACCCCTCGGCGCGCAGGTCCGCGAGGCTCTTGCCGACGAGCTTCTGCGCGTAGGCCGACTCGAGGGACGAGTGGGAGCCCGTCGCGAAGGACGGCTCGTTGGACGACATGACCCGCAGGTCCCACTCGTCGTTCTTGTGGCCGCCCCAGTGGTCGCCGCTGTTCTTCTGGAGCCAGCGGTCGCCTTCCACGTAGGACGCGGGGAACCAGCCCTCCTCGAACCAGGACCGGTCCTGGCGCTTGTTCCAGACGACGCGCTTGCCGTACCACCAGCCGTCGACGTTCTTCTTGAGCACCGTGATCTCGTCGTCGTAGACGAGGTTGAGCTCGTCGTGGTGCTCGTGCCTCCGCGCGTGGAGCACCTGGGCAGCAAAAGGGTGATTCAACGTCGCTTCAACGTGAGTGTTCCGCGCGCGCGCGTTCCGGAAAAAGCATCCACGCTTCGAGACCGTTCCAAGAGATGATCGCTCGTCCAAAAATCAGCCGAAACGAGTGGAAAACGGCCGAGATCGGAGCCTTTGAAGTTGGGAATTTCGCTCTCTTTTGCTGCCCTGTGGAGCACGCGCGCCATCTCGAGCACGGGCGCCTCCTCGACGTCGATGACGGGGTCCGGCGGCGGCATGGGCGGCAGGTCGAAGAGGAGCGCGTGGTCCACGGACCCGTTGGCGCACGCGCAGACGACCTCCAAGCCGAGGTCCGCCTGCGGCGCGTCGCCCATGTCGACCCTCACGCTCAGCGTGCCCGAGACGTCGACCTGCTTGCCGCCCATGGCCAGCAGGTGCTTCGTGATGACGGGGTCGCCGTCCTCGTTGATGAGCTCCGAACCCAACACTAAAATCTGGCCGCACGCGAGGTGCTTGCCGCGCGTCCGGTCGTGGTCGTAGACGACGAAGATGACGTCGCACGACTTGTAGATGGGGATCTTCAGCGCGAACTTGGACGTCTTCCGGTCCCAGGTCGGGCTGCGCGTGTCCTTGGCGTGGGCCGTGCGGCCGACCTCCGTGGGCCGGTGCTCGCCGGCCCTGATGACGCGGACGACGACGTAGGGGTCCAGGCCCTTCCGCGAGTCCATCTGCGCGAGGCCCGACGCGTCGAGCACGGTCACGTCCACGTCCACCGTCAGGTCGCCCGGGTCCTCGGCGACGGGCTCCGTGAAGGCCGTCGACGGCTTGAAGAAGGCGTGGGGGCGCAGGCAGAGGTCGTGGACGAGGCCCGACGCCGCGAACGCGACGAGCCACTCCAGAATAAACGGCTCCTTGACGCCGTCGGCGTCCATCACCGGCGCCCAGAAGTTCACCGTGTCCCGCGACGCCGTCACGACGACCTCGCGCCGATCGAAGAGCGTCGCGACGCAGACGCGGTGCACGCGGCCCTCCGTCTTCGCGAACGTTTGGACGATCCGTTTGTCCTCGGGCAGCGCGGCCCAGGCCTCAGCCACATCCGCGTCGACCTGGGGCACGCGCCAGACCTTGGCGTCGCCATACGACCCCGTCACGAAGGACGGCTGGCCGCCGAGGAGCGTCTCGTGGAACGCCAGACACATGACGGACGTCGCCTCGTCCAATCGGACCAGCTCCTCCTCGCTGGACAGGTGCCAGGCGCGGCAGGTCCGGTCCATGGACGTCGACAGGAGGATCTCGTGGTTGTGGTCCCCGCAGATGCACACGGCCGTCACGGTGGCGCCGTGGCCCTCGTAGGACCGGAGGCACCGGTCGTCGGACGCGCAGCTCCACAACTTGCACGTCTTGTCCACGGAGCCCGTCGCGACGACGCGCCGCCCGCCCTCCATGCGCAGGTCCCGCCGCTCGATGGACCGCATGGACATGCAGGTGACGCCGCCGACGTGCGCGCCGACGCCGCCGCCCATGCCGAGCACGTGCTCGCCCGTGCGGATGTTCCACTCGGACGCGCTCCGGTCCGTGGAGCACGTCGCGAGCTTGAGCTCGCTGCGGCCGTCGTTGTGGTCCACGTCGAGGTCGAAGTAGCAGGCGCTGATCTTCGCGTCGTGGCCCCGGTGGAGGAAGGCGACCTGGCCGCTGGCGCCGTCGATGATCTTGACGACGCCGTGCGTCGTGCCCGTCGCGATGAGCCGCCGGCCCTTGTAGTCCTGGACGGCGACGCAGGACACGCCCTGCTCGCTCGCCTCGCCCGTGGCCGGGTTCCGCAGCCACTTGACCATGGGGCTTAAGGGCTGCGAGGCTGCCCCATCGTGCGGCGCTGCGGGTGTTGCAGTTCTCGATGCAGGTCGAGGTGCCGTCGTTGAAGTGCTGCGAAAATCAGTTTGGCGGGCAGCCATGGTCCTCACCTGCGGCGCGAACGGGCAGCTCGTCTTCCGCAAGGCGAGCGACGCGGCGAAGCCGCGGGAGCTGTCGAGCCGCGAGCTGCGGCGCCTCGCGGAGAACGACGAGCAGAAGGCCCTGCGCCTCCTCGGCGAGCCGTCGAAGAGCGGCGCCTACGAGCGCCGCCCCAGCGCGACGCTCGCGCGGTCCAACGCGCTCACGTCGTCGTCGGCGCCCGTGTCGTCGGCCGTGCTCAAGGCGAAGCAGCAGAACGCCGAGTACCTGCGCCTCCGCGCGGAGCGCGACGAGACCGCGGCGCCGCGGCCGCCGCCGCCGCGGCGGTCCGCGTCGCGCGAGTCCGACGACGCGCGGCGGCCGCCGTCGAACCCGCGGTCCGACGACGGCCGGCGGTCCGCGGACGCGCCGCCGCGGCGCGGCGCGCGCGCGCCGCCGGACGAGCCCGCGGCGCCGCCGCGGCCGACGCCGTCCGCGGAGCCCGCGCGCGCGTCGCCCGCGCGCGCGGCCGCGGCCGCGGGCGGGCTCCTGGCCTCCATCGAGGCCGAGGTCGCCCAGGCCCGCACGTCCATGGCCTCGGCGGACGCCCGGGCCTCGGCGGAGGTCGCCCGGAGGACGCCGCGCGAGACGCCGCGCGAGACGCCGCGGTCGTCGCGCGAGGCGAGGCCCCCCCACGAGCCGGGCTTCGGCTACGTGAAGCCGCCGCCGCGGCGCCGGCCCGCGCCGGCCAAGGCGGCGACCTTCGGCTACGAGTCGCTCCTCAGCGACGTGTCGCGCGCGTACTGCGGCTACGACGACTCCTACTTCGACAAGGCCCCGGACCGGGACGCGACGCGGCGGGCCGCGGCGGACGCCGAGGCCGCGCGCGCCGCCGTGCGCGAGCGCGAGGCGACGTGGCGCGCCGAAACGTCCGCGCGCCGCGCCGCGGACGACGACGCGCGCGCGGCGGCCGCCGCGGCCGACCGGAGCCGCGCGGCCGCTCCGGCGCCGGGCGACGACGCCTGGCTCTCGGCGCCCGTGGCCCCGAGCGACGCGGAGCTCGACGCGCGCGTCGACGCGCTGCGGCTCCGCGTCGAGGGCGGGTCGTCCCCGGCCGAGGGCGTCGACATCCTGTCGCGGGCCGCGGCGATGGCGCGGCGGCCCGCGTCGCCGCCGCCCGCCTTCGGCGGCGACGCCGCGAACCCCCTCGCGCGGGCCATGGCCCTGGCGCGGCGGCCCGTGACGCCGCCGCTCGCCTTCGAGGGCCCGCGCGACGCCCTCGCGTCGTTCTCGGCCGTCGCGGACGCGCCGGTCCGCGGCGACGTCGCGCGCGCGCCGCCGCCGGCGATGCCCGCGCCCGCCGGCGACGACCCCCTCGCCGCGGCGCTCGCGCGGGCCATGGCCCTCTCGCAGCGGCCCGTGACGCCGCCGCTCGCCTTCGACTCCGCGGCGCCCGCGCCGCCCGCCGCGCCGCCGCCGCGGGCCGCCGCGACGGCCTACGCCGCGCCGGCCTACGCCGCGCCGGCGACCCACGCCGCGCCGGTGACCTACGCCGCGCCGGCGCCGCCGGCGCCGTCGGGCGACGACGCGGCGAGCGTCCTGTCGCGCGCGTTCGCGCTCGCGCACGCGGACGTCGAGCCGCCGCTGACCTTCGCGCCCCTTTGAACTATCGCAGTAACGGCAACGACACTAAGCCGACGTCTATAGACCACAAATCCCGATGTTACGCGTCCGGGACGACGTCGACGCCGGCGGGCGGCTCGAGCGATCTCGGCGCGTCCTCCGGCGTGACGACGGAGACGCCGTCGAAGTCGACGGTCGAATTCGCGTCCTCGGCGTCGCCGCCCGGGATGATCGCCGGCGGCGAGTACTCGGTCCACTGGGGCTTGCGCGGCCCCGGCAGGAGCACGAGCGCCGTCGCGACGGGCGACACGGGGTCGTCGTAGGCGAGGCACCGCGCGGCGTCCAAGTAGTCGACGAACAGGGAGCCGTCGAGGAACATGCGGACGTAGGCCCACCAGACCGCGACGACGACGAGGGTCGCGTTCGCGAAGAGCAGCCAGGCCAGCGGCGCCAGCAGAAACCGCGCCGACGGGCACAGGAGGGTCAGCCGCCCCACGGCGTTGGCGAAGATCACCGTCGGGAACGTGAAGCTCGCCCAGCCCGGCAGGAGGGGCTCGTCGACGAAGAAGCGCTTGTACCTCGAAAAGACCGGCGCGGCCGTCGCGCAGGCCAGCGCCGCCAGGACGACCGTCAGCGCCGCCGGGACCACGTCCAGATCCGAAAAGGTCGCGCCCGGCCGCCGCGCGCGGAGGTGCGTGAGCCACGCGGAGCAGCAGAGCGACGACGGGGCCATGTAGATCGCGAACGTCGGGTACGCCGCGCGCGGCAGGCGCTCCCGCGTCCGCAGGCGATAGGTCACGAGCGGCAGCTCCCAGACGAGGTTCGCGATGCCGAGCCAGAGGCTGAACGCGACGAGCGATTCCGGCACGCGCATCGTCGTCGCGACGGCCGCGTAGACGGCGACGCCGACGAAGACGACGAACCACGACGGCGTCGCGTAGGCCAGCGTCCTCGGGTCGCCGCGCCGCCGCCAGGCGACGGCGCTCAGCCGGAGCATCAACACGACGTGGACGCCGCAGCCGCACACCCAGACCCAGCGCGCCAGGGTCTCGAGGCCGTGCGCGTGCACGCAGCGCGAGAGCGGCGCGAACGCCATCGCGCCGCTCGACACGAGCGCGCCGCTCGGGTGCTCCAGGGCGTCGAGCTCGACGCGCAGGAATTTCGGGTGGAGGAAGCCCTTGGACGCGAAGGCCATCAGCGGCGCGAGGCCCGCGACGGAGCAGATCGTCTGCGCCGCCAGCGCGCCGCGCGCCCAGGGCCGCGGCGCGAGCAGGCGCAGGAACATGGCCCAGAGCGCGCCGAGCCCCGCCGTGCCGAGCGCGAGGGAGCAAAAGGCCCCCTGGCAGTGCTTCACGGTGCGCGGCGGCCTCGGCAGCCCGTCGACCTTGAGGAAGGTCCGGCAGCAGGCGCGGCGCGTCGGGGCAGCCCTCTCCTCATCGCTCGCTGCCTCCACCGCCGTGGCGCTGGCGCCCTTGCACATCGAGGCGTGTGCGCGTCGAGGGCTCGTGCTGGATCACGCCATGGCGGCCAATGACGGACCGGCCCAACCGATGATCGGGACGCCTGCGATCTCGACGAATTCTTCGATTTGCGGCACTATGCTTCAACGTTACCTTCATATAAAATTCAGTCCTCGAGGCCGAGCCTGACGAGGATCTGGTGCATGACGTGCGGGTAGGCGAGGTGGCCCGCGACGAGGTCCGAGAGGTCGACGTTCTCGACGATGGGGTCGTCGTCGCCGCGCGTCGCGCGCTCCGGGCTCCGCACGGGCCGCTCGCCCGCGACGCCCGCGATGGACCAGGCCTTGGCGCGGTAGACGAGCTTGAGCATGAAGTCGTGGCGCGAGAAGCCGTTGATGAGGCGCCCGGCGACGGCGGCCCGCGCCTTGCGCCACCGCGCGGGCGTCGCGGACACGGGCGCTCCCAGCAGCACCGCGTTCTCGACGCGGCTCGCGGCGCGGTCGCGCACGGCCAACGGCCGGCTTGCGTCGTCGGCGATCTCCGCCAGCGCCTCGAGGCAGTGGAGCACGAGGCGCGCGCCCGCGCCGTAGCCCACGAGCGTCGCGGGGCCGTCGTCGCCCGGGCCCATGAGCAGATCCGCGAGGCGGCGCCCCGCGGCCTCGCTCCGCGCGATGGCGACGGCCCAGGGGTCGTCGAGCTTCGCGAAGCGCTCGAGCAAAGCCAGCGGCAGCGTCGCGGCGCCGAGCGCGGACCGCCGGAGCATCTCGTCGACGACGCCGCGCGTCACCTGTGTGGAATTCAAACCTTCAACCCGACTTCAATGTGCGCATATGCGACAAGTTCGACGCAACCTCTTCGGCCGTGCTTCGAGAACTCGACGAGAGCAATCGATCCGTCCAAAAATCAGCCGAATCGACTTCGATGTGACCGAGCTAGAGAATTCTGAAGTTTGGTCAGGACCACCCAAACCAGTGGTTGAATTCCACACAGCGCGCCACGCGCTCCTTCGCCTCGACCCAGAGGCTCGCGTCGGCCATCTGGTCGTGGAGCCGCCGCAGGGCCGCGCGCTCCCAGAGCACGACGCGCTCGTAGGACGTGTGGGGGAACGTCTCGGCCCACCAGTCGCAGGCCTCGAGGCGCAGCGGCGCCGCGCGCGCGCGCGCGTCGTCGCCGGGCGGCGGCGGCTCCGCGTCGGCCTCGAAGATCGTCGCGCCCTCGGCCAGGGGCTCGTTGAGGCCCGACAGGTTCCCGATGAGCGGCGGCGCGGCGACCCTCTTGGGTTTTTCGGGCAGCGCGTCGGGCCGCATCTCGTCCCACGAGTCGGACAGCTCCCGCGCGGCCTCGTCGCCGCGCAGGGGCGCCACGGCGCGGACGCACCCGCCGGAGCCGAAGGCGCCGCGCGCGTCGTGGCCGTCGGCGACCCAGCCCGGCACGAGGAAGAACCGCGGCACGCCGCGCGGCTCCGACGCCGCGGACCGCTCGAGCGACACGTCCAGGAGCGTCTCGCCGGCCGCGGCGCCGTCGGAGCCGTCGAGCGACACGAGGTCCGCCGCGCCGGCGTAGTCCAGCTCGTCCTCGTCGTCCTCGTCGTCGTCCGGCGCCGCGACGGCGAGCACCCTCGGCTCCGGCCGCCCGCCCAGGGGCATGAGCTCCCAGTCCGCGTGGCTCACGAAGCGCCGCCGCGCCTTCAACCCGCTCATGCCCGCGCCCAACGCGCCGAAGACGCCCGTGATGCAGCCCGCGACGGCCGCGGCCGCGCCCTCGGTCGCGGCCGTCGTCGCGCCGAGCGCCGTCGCGCCGCCGAGCAGCGACGCCGCGAGCGACGGCGCCGCGACGACGCCGCTCAGGGCCAGGAGCGCGCCGCCGCCCACGGCCGTGAGCGACACCTGGGCGGCGACGGACAGCTTGACGGCCTTCTTCCGCCGCGGCGCGCCGGGCTCCGCGACGTCGCCGGCGACGCGCGCGCCCCTCGCCGCCTCGGCCTCCGCGGGCACGACGCGCCGGCTCCAGGACACGCCGCAGGCGCCCGCGAGCTCCTTGAGCACGGCGCGGCCCCGCGCGTCGTAGCGGCGCGCGGCGATCTCCGCCGCCGCGACGGCGGCGACGCACCGCGCGCCGCGGTCCTCGCCGAGCGCGGCGCCGCGGCTCGCGATCTCGCGCTCGGGCGTCCGCAGCACGACGAACTCGTCCTCCTCGCGCTCGTCGTCGGCGTGCTCCGCCGTCGCGACGCGCGCCGTCGCGGCCGTCGCCGTCGCGCCGACGGCCGCCGCCGCGCGGCGGACGAAGCCCGCGACCCAGTCGCCGTGGCTCACGCGGTGGGAGATCTCGCAGCGCGCGCCGTAGGCCGCGACGCCGCAGGCGACGAGCTCCAGGAACTCGTGGGCCGTCGCCGGGTCGGGGTGGGGCGCCGGCGCCGGCTCGTCGGCCTCGAGGAAGGGCAGGGCGCCGAGGCTCGCCGTCGACGCCGTCGGCGTCGTCTCCGGCGATGGTTCCTGCTGCGTCATCTCCGTCTCCGGCGCGTCGTCGTCGGCCCCGCCGGGCCCCGGGGCCTCCATTTAAAGAGCTTCTTCCAGGCTCATGCTGCGCCGATGCGGGTCGAACATTCGTGAGATGGGTCGATGCTGCCACAAAAAGTCTGGCGAGCCTCTTTGTTGAGCAATTGAGTTGAGCTCTCGTCAGGAGCATGGCACGCGCCGTTCGCGGCGCCGCCCTAACGCTGGCGCTCCTCGGCGCATCGGCCCTTTCGCACAACCCCGTGCGCCGCCCGCCGTCGGCGCCGAGAGCCGCGACGACCGCGGTAAGCGCCGCGACGACGGACGTGGAGCTCGGCACGTGGATGCTGCTCGTGCCCGAGCTCAACGCCATGCCCGGCCGCTTCGACTTCGACCAGACGGAGTTCATGTCGGCGGAGGAACTTTTGGAGCGCGTCGACGGCCTCGCGGAGGCCGCCGTGCTGTCGACCTGCGACCGCTACGTCGTCGTCGCCGCCGCGACGCGCGACGTCGACGGCGTCCTCGCGGCCATCGAGGCGCGCGTGACGATGGAGATCGCCGTGCGCGCGGGGCGCACGGGCCGCCAGCTCCTGCTCGCCGCGGGGGCCGACGGCGCCGCGCCCTACGCGCCGCGCGCGCCGCTGCCGGCCGTCGAGGAACTGCCCGGCGGCGCCGTCGACGCGCTCGCGGCGGCCTTCGCGGGCCTCCGGGACGAGCGGCGCGGCGGCGGCGACCTCGTCGCGGACCTGCTCGGCGAGGAGCGCGCGGGCAAGCGCGAGCAGGTCCGCGCGCCCGCGGCGGCGCCCGCGCCGACGCGGCGCGACGCGACCGACGAGCTCACGGCCGCGCAGCGCGAGAAGCTCGCGATCCGCGCCGCGAAGCGCGAGGCGCGCGAGCGGGCGCGCCTCGAGGCCAAGGCGGCGACGTTCCTGCCGCTCGCGAAGACGACGACGCGCGAGGCCACGGAGAAGTTCATGCTGCGGCTCGGCGCGGGCCTCGAGTCGACGATCGTCGGCGACCTGACGATCGGCCGCCAGCTCTGGGACCTGCGCGAGGCGTGCCTCGCGACGGGCGCCATCGCGACGAACGGCCCCCTCTGCGCGCTCGTCGACGCGGCGCGCGCCGCGGGCCGGCGGACGCGCGACGAGCGGCTCGGCGACCTGAGCATCGCGCGGTTCCCGTCGCGCGAGGACCGCATGACCGACGACGAGAAGCGCGCCGTGCTCGACCACGCGCGCATGGTCGTCGCGGACGAGCACGCGAGCCTCAAGGCCGAGCGGAAGGTCCGGCGCGCGGCCGGCGCGATCTCGGAGCTGCGCCGCCGCAGCGACGAGCGCGTGCGGCGCGCCGCGGACGCCGGCGCCGACAACCGCCGCGCGCGCGCCGCGGCGAACGCCGTCCTCCACGCGCCCACGATCGCCCTCCGCGGCGACCCGCCCGACGCGGCCGCCGTCGCCGACGCCGCGCTCGCCGCCGTCGACGCGGCGCTCGCGCGCGTCCTCGCCGGCGACGCCGTCGTGACGACGCGCACGCGCCGGACGGAGGTCGTGGGGCGGTAACACCTTGACCGATGTTCAACACGGGTTCAACAATCCAGAAGGTGCAGTTTCTACCCGAGTTTCCTCGAGGGCGCCGACGCGAGCCCGCCGCCGCCTCGTCGCGTCGCGCCCCCAGCTCGTCGTCGCAGCGCGCCCAAGCTCGTCGTCGCATCGCGTCGTCGTCGCGCGCCTCGCTGAACGCTTGTCACAGCGACCATGGGCGCCGCGACGTCCACGGACAGCGGCGGCGCGAAGCTCAAGCCCGACGACAACTCGACGCCGCTCCTGTCGTCGAAGAGCGACGGCGCGCCGAAGGAGTGGAAGGCGGGCCTCTGCTCCTGCATGGAGTACCCCGGCGTCAACGTCTGCGCCTTCTACGCGCCCTGCTTCCGCTTCGCGCAGACCGCCGTGCGCGCTCGCATGAAACCGAACTGGGGCTTCGTCTTCTGGTTCGCGCTCTACTTGTTCGGGTTCCTGCTCTTCTTCTGCCCGCTGCTCTGGCCCTGGTGCAGCGCCGCCTGGCCCCTGAAGCTGTCGTCGACGGCCTACGAGACGCAGATCTGGTTCCCCTGGTGCGCGATCTGGTACCTGTCGCTGCCGACGATCGTCGCCGTCGGCGCGTGGAAGCGCTACGAGATCCGGCGCAAGTACAACATCAAGGCCTACGGCGGCGAGGACTGCGGCGCCGCCGAGGACTGCTGCCTCCACTTCTGGTGCGAGCCCTGCGCGCTCGCGCAAGAGGCCGTCGAGGTCGACCTCCAGGAGCTCGGCGTCGCCGTCGCGAGCGCGTCCATGGGCGAGCGGGACTAAAAATCACACTGTTAGAGACAACCCGCCGGGTCGGCGGCGGCGCGGGCGCGTGCCGCGCCGCCGCGTCATGTGGGGCGGACGTCGCGAAGCTCGGGGCGGCGCGCGGCCTAGTGTCAGCCGCCGCCGTGCGCGTGGCCGTGGGAGCACTGCTTCGCGGCCTTGGCCTTGAGGCTCGCCTCCTCGACGTCGTCCTTGCCGTAGTAGAAGAGGATGAAGCGCGCGCAGGGCAGCGCGAGCGCGAGCGCCGCGAGCGCGCGCTCGAGGCCCGCGGCCGCGGACGCGTCGCCGACGACGCTGCGGCCGCAGAGCGGGTCCCGCTTCGTGCCCCGCGCCTCGCGGACGGCGTAGGCGCCGTAGACGAGCCCCGCCAAAGGGAAGAGGAGCGCGGGGCAGCGCATGCGGCGGAGGCCGAGCCGGGCGACGACGACGTCGCCGAGCGTCGCCTTGCGGTCCACGCGGTAATTCATGGCGTGTTTGTAGAGGAGGAACCGTCGGTAGAGCACCTCCGTGAGGCGCAGGGACCAGAAGGCGACCCAGGCTCGAAAGGCGAGCGCTCGCCAGCACGCGCGGCGAAAGTGCGCGGGCCCGTTCGGCGGGTACGCGAGCGGCGCCGCGGCCCAGAACGCGGCGCAGCAGAGGCCGCCGTAGGCGACGACATGGACGCCGCACGCGAAGGGCTCGCGCGCCGCCCAGGCGACGAGCTCCGGCAGCAGGGACACGACCGGCGGCGAGTCGGCGAGAAGGTCCGGATCGGGCAGCGACGTCTCGATGGGCGCCCAGGGACGCTCCGTCTCCGTCGGCGCGCCGGCCATCAGCCACTTCTTCACGTTTTCGACGTCGGCGGCGTCCCTGGTCGTGCTCATCGTTGGGCTGCGGCGCCTCGACAAACCGGGCTTCGCAGGCGGCACCGCCGCAGGGAACCAGGGTACGCGATACCCTAGGAGGGGAATAGCAGCCACTGCGGCGGCGATCCGTTGAGCTTTGGTTTACTATCGGCTCGCTGTATGTGTTTGGTTCCGCTCATCGGCTCGCTGTATGTATTTGGTTCCGCTGATTTCGGGCCGAGAAGCGCCGAGACGGCATGGACGCATTAAATTTAGTCGAGCGCGCCTACCACCGCGCGCGCCCCCCCGCGTGCAAGATCGCTGGGACTGCGCATAGCGCACACATCGGGGCTGCCATCCGCGAAGGAGCGGCAGCGTTTGGATTGCGACTCGCTGAGAACGCAAGCGGCTTCGGGCGACCGATTTGACGGACGCGATGCCCCTCCCCCGGCCCGTGAGCGGCCCGGGCAGCCCCGCGCAGCAGCAGGGATCGTCCGCTGTCGACCCGAGAGCGCCCTGCCACAAGGGTTGGCCCCGCGGACCCGAGGAAGTCGATCTGACATGTTCGCGCTGAAACCGCGTCGCGCGCGCCCGCACGCCCGCGCGCGCGGTGTCGCACGTCGTCCGAGCCAAGTCAGCAACTGAGCAGCCCGAGGGTATCAGACATGTACCCCGAGCCTCCGAGCCAGCCAGCACGCTGCCCAGAGCCCAAAATGGGCTGCCTTTCGGCTCGCAGAGCATGCCGAAATGCTCGAACTTCGCGCAGCGATTCCGGACGACGGTCAGGGTGTCCATGGTCACGGAGCACGTTTCCGAGCACACCAGAGGCACGTCTGCCGCGATCCGTAGCCCGTGACCATGGACAGCCGGCCGCGCGCGCGCCGGAAAATGCCAAAGAGAGGCTCTCCCTGCTTCTCCCCTCATCGATACCCTCTCTTCCTGTTGATGCCGATGATGAGGATGATGAGGCTTGCGGCAAATCCAAGCCGATGGACTTGCTCTGATGCTCCACACTGCAGCTCGCAGACCCGGCCGGCGGCGCGCCGGACGCTTTGAGCGCAACAACCTACCTGGTGCTGCTCAGCGTCCTTGCGGCCGTGGAGCTACGATGCATGCCCTCCTCGTCGCGTCGGTGCTCACCACGACCGCCTTCCGAGCGCCGCATCCCATCCGCCGCCGCACGCGCCGCCGCTCCGTGGGCACGGCCCTCGACGACGTGACGACCGAAGCGACCAAGGTCTTCGTCCCCTACGAGGGCGCGGTCCCGGCCTACGTGCGCGGCACGTACTACCGCAACGGCCCCGGCGCTTGGACGACGAAGGCGCAGAACCTGACGCACCTCTTCGACGGCTTCGCGCTGCTCTGCAGCTTCGCGTTCCGCGACGGCGGCGTCGAGCTCACGTCCAAGTTCCTCGCCAGCGAGGCGCGCGCGTTCGCCGTCGAACACGACAAACTGCTCTTCAACGAATTCGGCACGGCCGCGGGCGCGACCCCCGCCGACCGCGTCGCGTCGCTCGTCCGGTCGTCGCTCCGCGGCGGCACGACGGACAACGCCGTCGTCAACGTCCTCCCGCGACCGGACGGGACGCTCCTCGCGATCTCGGAGCCCACGAGCGCGACGTTCCGCGTCGACGGAGACACGCTCGCGACGCTCGGCCGCGACCGCTACGACGGCGGCGATTCTGTCGGTTTATTGCACACGGCGCACCCGCTGCCGCGGCTGGGGAAGCTCGTGAACGTGGCGACGTCGCTCGCGCCGCCGCGCTACGAGGTCTACGTCGCCGACGACGGCCTGCGAAACCCGAGGCGCGTCGCGTCGCTGCCGAGCGCGCGCGCCTTCGACGTGTCGTGGCACCACGCCTTCGCGGCGACGGCGACGAAGGCCGTCGTCGTCGAGACGCCGGCCGTCTACAACGTCGGCGCGCTGATGGGCGCGGTCGGCGCGGACCACGTCGCCTTCGACTGGAAGCCCGAGGGCGGCACCTGGGTCACCGTCGTCGACATCGCGAGCGGCGCCGTGGTCGCGCGGCGCCGCTGCGAGCGCAACTTCTTCTTCTTCCACTGCGCGAACGCTTTTGAGGAGGACGGCAGCGTGCGCGTGGATCTCTGCGTCTACGACGACGCGAGGATCGTCGACGGCCTGTCCCTCGCGGCCATGCGGCGGGACCCGGCCGTCGGCGGCGTCGAGGTCGGCCGCCTCGCGCGCCTCGACGTCGCGCTCGACGGCGACGCGCCGGCGACGCTCGAGTACCTGGACGACGCGGCGGCGACGGGGGATTTCAGCGAGTTCCCCGTCGTCAACCCGGCCGTCGCGGGCGCGCGGCACCGCTACGTCTACGCCGTCGGCGCCGCGCGGCCGACGAACGTCGCGAACGTGCTGACGAAGACGGACTGCGACGCCCGGACGACGAACACGCTCGCGTGGCCCGGCGTCGCCGTCGTCGGCGAGCCCCTCTTCGTGCCCGACCCGGCGGGCGCGCGCGAGGACGACGGCGCGCTGCTCGTCGTGCTGCACGACGTGTCCGGAGACGCGCACGTCGCCGTCGTCGACGCGCGGACCTTCGCCGAGGTCGCGCGCGCGACGATGCCGCGCGGCGCCGTGCCCTACGGCTTCCACGGCGCGTGGCGCGCGGCGTAAGATTCCGCGGCGGCACGTCGAGTCTATCATGCGGCCGAGCGGCGCCTAGCGTAACTCTTTCGCGAGGTCTTCCGCGTGCGTCTGCTCGAGCAGGGTCGAGAGGAGCGCGGGCAGGTGGAGGAGGAGCGACGGCGGCGGTTGCTCGGGGGAGGAGCGCAGCAGGAGCCGCCGCGCCTGGAGCCAGAACTTGAGCCGCGCGAGCCGCGCACCGTGCGTTCCGTCGACGCGGATGCCGCGCGCGCCGCAGACCTCGAGGAGCTCGCGGTTCGAGAGGCAGACGTCGCCGTCGGGCGTGCTCAAGTCCGCGTCGAGCGCGTCGTCCTCGGCCTTGGCGGCGGCCGCGGCCGCGGCGAGCACCGCGCGGATCTTCCGGTTTCGGGTGAACCTGAGGCCGAAGCGGCCCTTGGGCCGCGGCCGCGCGCAGCGCGCGAGGCGGATGAGGTGGCGCCGGCTCAGGTCCTCGAGCGCGAGGCCGCCGCCGTCGCAGAACGCGTCCGCGACGGAGCCCAGCGAGCCGAGGTCCGGCGCGGCGCCGCCGCCCTCGGCCGCCGCCGCGGGCTCGGCGACGACGTCCCCCGGGAGCGGCGCCGCCGTCGGCGCGCGCCCCTGGCTCGTCTTCCGCGTGAGCTCCTCGAGGAGCTTCGCGTGCCGCCGCCGCGCGCCCTCGCCGTCCTTCCGCGCGAAGGCGTAGCACTGGCCGTCGGTCCAGAACTGGGGGGTGAGGAGCGTCCGCGGCATCGTCGCCGCGACGCCGATCAACACGAGCCCGAAGGGCGGCGGCAGCGGGTTCGCGAGGAGCGGCAGCATGCGCAGCGCATGCTTCGGCGCGTTGGCCTGCACCTTGTGCTCGCGCCAGGTGAGCCGGTGGAGCGGCTGGTGGCGCTGGCGGAGCGCGCGCCACAGCTTGACGTCGGCCCAGAGCTGCTTCGCGCCCTTGAAATACGCTTTAATCGCGTCGCGGCGCGTCTCCGTGCTCACGTCCGGGAACGGGATGTCCGACGGTGCCATGAGCTCCATGTCCGGCGCGGGCCGCAGGCCGGTCAGCGTCGGCGCGGCGCTCCCGTTGAGGGAGCTGTTGCTTATTGGGGTTGTGACGGCGGCGGAACCACCGCGCAGCTGCAACGACGTCCGCGCCGACGCCCACGACATGAACGTCACGGCTAACAACGCGCGCTTGCACCATCTCTGAGCCATGCCCGTTTCGGCCACTTGTTTGGGCTCGCGGACAGAGCGCCGGGGCTCCTCGAGCGCCGCCGGCGGCCTCCGACGGTGACGCGTACGCGCGCCCGGCGTCGAGTCCTCGGCGTCGAGTCCTCGTCGTCGCAGTCGTTCAAAGAGCTCCCTCCAGGGGGATTAACACGCGCGGACGACGTAGGTCCCGCCCGCCTCCGTCGCGAGGTGAAAGCAGGCGTCGCAGGCGGCGTCGTCCGCGCGGGGCAGCGGCCCCGACGCGTCGCAGAGCGCGGCCGCGGCGAACGCGTCCGCCGGGATGCGCAGGTCGCCGCCGCGCTCCGCGCGGACGGCGAGGCGCGCGAGCGGCGCGCGCGCCTCCCTCGAGGCGCTCAGCAGGAACGCGCCGTCGACGCGCAGCCGCTCGAAGGCCGCGGGCGCGTCGTCCGGCCAGCCGGCGAAGAGCCGGAGCACGCCGCCGTCGACGACGCGCGCGAGCGCGAAGCCCACGGCCGCGAGCGCGCCGTTCTGCTCCAATCCTCCGCCGCCGAGGTCGGGCCAGCCGTTGGGCGTCGCGCGCCGCGCGTACGCCGCCGACAAGTTGGCCCACAGCGCGCCGGCGTCGCGCCCGTCGACGACGAGCGCGGACGCGGGCCAGTTCAGGACGAAGCCGTTGCCCGGCGCGAAGTCCGTGACGTCGTTGACGAGCGCCACCGTGTTCCGCGCGACGCTCAGGAGCTCGCGGTCGACGCGCGCCGACGCCGCGTCGACGAGGCGGCCCGGCCAGATCGCCGCGAGGTGCGTGATCGCGTAGGCCGCGTTGGAGTCGGGCGCTGGCTGCGCGGGCCCCGCGTTGACCGCCTCGGCGAAGACGCGGCCGCGCGACGCGTTCGCGAGCGGGAAGGGCGCGAGCGCCGCGAGGCTCCTCGACCACCGCTCGACGTCGTCGCCGAAGTCGATGAGCCGCTGGTAGACCATGCGCGCGTACGCGAGGTCCTGATGGTTGTTGTGCTGCGCGACTTTAGGGTCCGAGTTGCACGTCTCCTGGGCGCACGTAAAGGGGAGGTCTCCGTCGACGGCGTAGCTCTCGTAGAATTCGGCGACGCCCCGCAGGTAGGGCACGAGCTGTTCCTCCAGGAACGCCTCGTCGCGCGTGCCGTCGTAGTAGGACAGCATCGGCGTCGCGACCAGCCCGGCCACGAACCGCGTGCCGTCGTCGAAGCAGCACTCCATGCCCCGGAAGGCGCCCGTGCAGCTGACAAAGGCAAAACCGCCAAAGCCGCCGAAGTCGCTCGCGCGCGCTGCAGCCGAAATCGTAATCCCAATCGGGCGTCGGCCCACAGGACATGCCCGAGACCTCCGCGCCGGCGACGTCGGGCCAGCCTCCCAGCGACCAGTCCTCGAGCGCCGCGCGGCGCCGCGCGAGCTCCACGAGCCGCGACTCCTTCAGGATGAAGTCGTTGTACTGGGCGGCGAGCTCCGGCGCGTTCAGCATCGTCGTCGCCCAGTAGTTGGCCTCGAAATTGTAGTCGAGCGTCACGTCGTCGCTCCACCCCGGGAAGTCCGTGGTACTGTACGGGCCCCAGAGCGCCGGCGGCGTCTTTCCGACGCGCATGGCGCCGCGCTGCAGGTACAGAGACGCGTAGAAGTAGCGCTCGAGGTCCGGGTGCGCGTCGAGCGAGAGCGACGTGACCTGGGTCCAGTAGTCCTCCCAGAACGCCGCGGTCGCCGACGCGTTCTCGGTCTCGACCGCCGCCGCCGCGACGGCCGCCGCGAGCGGGTCCTCCGCGTCGCGCTCCGAGAGCACGGCGACGCGCAGCGCCAACCGTTCGCCGCACGAAACGTCGTAGAGGAAGGAGCGCGACCGCCCGTCGGGCGCCGGCGCCGACTTCCGAGCGTCGAGGGCAACGCCCTCGCGGAGCAGCCGCGCCGCCACGGCGACGCCGTTGGACTCGAGGCGCGGCGCGAGCGCGAGGCAGCGGCCCGAGTCCGCGTCCTCGAGGAAGCCGTCGTCGTTCAAGCTCCACCGCGTCGCGGCGTCGCAGGCGCCGACGGCGACGACGTACTTGCTCGACTGGCAGGCGCCCGTCGCGTTCGCGTCCGTGTAGTACGAGTGCGGCGGGCACGCGGCGTCGACGCCCGTGTCCTTCGCCGCGAGGCACGACGTCCCTTCGGGCGATTCGACGCGGCCGTCGGCGCGGAGGCGCCAGCGCGTCGTGTTGTCGCAGGGCGCGGCGACGGGCGACCCGTGCCGCAGGGCGACGCACTGGCCCGCGGCGCCTCGTAAGAAGCCGGACGCGTCGACGGCGAACGCGCGCTCCGAATTGAAGACGATCTGGCTCGTGGTGCAGGGGACCATGAGCGGCGCCCGCCAGCCGTCGTCCTTGACCGAGGCCTTTTCGAGCGCCGGCGTCGATGCGTTGAGCACCAGCGGCATCGCGAAGAGGTTGTCGCTGCCGATCGTCAGATTAAGCTCCGCCGCGGCTCCCGCGCACGTCGCGACGACGTCGGCGACGAGGACGTTCTCGAGGAGCACGCGCGCGTTCGACATCTCGATGGACACGTCGGCGTTGGAGACGCGCGCGGCGAGCGTCGCGTTGGAGATGGTCTGGGACGCGGTAAAGGCCGGCAGCGTCTCGCCCGCGACGCCGAGGAGCACGAAGCCCGGCGAAAAGTGCATGAAGCTCGCGTGGAAGGTTAACGCGTCGGGCCAGCCCCAGTAGTCGTTCTTGCCGAAATAGAGGCCCAGCGCCTCGTCGCCGCCGGGCGCGCCGCCGGGCGGGCCGAGGGCCGTGCCGGGGCTGCCGCCGATGACGACTCCCAGGTCGCCGTTGCCAACGATTGGTCCGTCGGGCACGACGCGGCATGGCGCGCACTTTGGCGTGGCGTTCCATTGAAACGCGTCGTCGACGCGCGACGGTGGAGTTGCGGCTGCCACTGCGACGAGGACGAATCGGAGAGCCATGCTGTGTGCAAGGTATTCAAGGGCTGCTTCATCATTGGAGGACGCGGGGGGTTCGCGTCCGGGCGTCCGGGGTGTCCGGCCGGCGTCCGGGCGCGTCCTGGGCGCGTCCTGGGCGCGTCCGGGCGTCCGGCGGGCGTCCTGGGGGCGTCCAGCCTGGACGCATGCGGAGTCCTCAGACAGGTCCCGAGAGCTTCGTGGGTGCTCCGGAGCTGGTCGACAGGCCGCGTCTCGCCAGACGCGGTGCAGAAAAGTTTATGTCCGCGGGTGGATATGGGGCGCCGGGGAAGTGCCCCCTCCCGGGGGAAGTGCGGGAAAGAGTGCTCGAGTTGGGAGGCGTCCGGCAGAGTTCGGCCGCGGGCGGGGCGGTCAGCCGCGGCGAAACGCGCCGCGCTCCTTCGCGACGGCGGCGCCTCGCTTCTTCCTCGGCACTTCGGAGCACGCGCGAGTTGGCCGCGCGATGCGTTCTCATCGGCAGAGGGCCACGGCGACCGCGGTGCGAGTTCCACTGGACGCGAACTCATGCGCGGGAGCACGGGCGTGCGAGTCGGTGAGCGCGCAAGGCTCGCAGGTGCTTGCGTCGCCGTCAGTAGAGGCCGCCGAAGGACTGGCGCCACGCGCCCGCCCACGGGCCACCGAGGCTTCCTTGTGCCTAGGGTTTGTATCGACGTGGACTTCGGCGGCGCGCAGCGCATCCGTCGCTCGACGGCAGAGGCAGCACGCTTCTTTGGGCTGCCCGAGCCCGAGCACCTGCGTCGTGACAACCCGCTGTTCAGAGGGGCGATGGTGAAGCGGCGGGCGCGTTCTCTTGGTCTGCGACGGGCGCGCGCGGCGTCCATACGCCGGCGTTGGGCAGCCGCGCCAAGACTTGCACAATTATAACGTGCAGCTCGGACAGTCGATCCTCGGCAGAGTGGCGGTTGCTTCGACTGGCTGTGCTGCGACACGCTGCCGCGGCCGTCGCCGTGCCCCGCAGCGGACTGGTTGAACAGGCTACGCATTTCAGGAACGCGTAGCTACAACTCGGCCCGCAGAATCGGCGGCGCGCCCCATAGCGGCGCGCGCTCGCACGCCGACTCGCACCGCATCATCTGCTCGTTCCAAGGGCTGCCCCGTAGCTCCAGGTCCGTCGGCGTGCTGCCGGGGCGTGCCGGGGCTGACGCGAGGCCCGGCGAGAGAACAACCCTCAGACCAGACGCCACGACCCACGACCCGGCGAAAAGGTTCGCGCGCGCGAACCCCGTCTCAGGAACTCCGCGAGGACCTTGTGCCGGCCGGCCGCGACCGCAAATTCACCGCTCGCAGCGCAGCGACCACGCCCCCTACGCGCGACGCGCGGTCGAGGCTACCGCCGCCCCGTCCCCCACCGACCGCCACGCGTGCTCCATTACCCGCCGCGGGAGGTGGCTGCTGGCTCCACTACAGTAATGTCAATCTATAGCTAGTCTCCAAATCGCATCAGCGAGTACTCTGGGCGCCTCGGACTGCTGCTGGGCGCGTCCTGGGCGCGTCCGGGGCGCGTCCGGGCGTCCGGCGTGTCCGCCGGGCGTCCGGGCGCGTCCGGGGCGCGTCCGGGCGCGAACCCCCCGCGTCCTCCATTGACATTGGCCGCCGACACGGCCGATGAGGGGCAAGCGAGTCGTCTCCTGACCGCGGCTCGGCGGGGCATGGCCTCCGAACCGCGCGCGATCACATCGACGGAGGCCCTAAAGCTGCTGAATGCCGCCAGCATTGACAACCTGGCCCCGGAAGACGCGTCGGTGCTTCACGCCCTCGCAGTCTCTGTCGCCAGCCGAGACTCCGCCGCGGCGGAACAGCTCGATGCCATGACCGCACCGCTGGCGGCTCCGCTCGCCGTCCTTCCACCGGAGTGCGTCGTTCATGGCCTGGCGATGTTGCCCTTCACGGACCTGAACGCTGTCGCGAGCGTCTGCAAGTCGTGGCGCGTGCTGCGGGCGTCGTCGTCGTTTCTCGCGGCGCGAAAGGCCGTGGATGAGCGCGTGCTCGTGGTTGCGGGATGGCACGACCGTGAGGCACTAAATGTCCGCGGTACCTACGTGTTGAAGAAACGGAGCGGGCGAGACGGCCTTGAATTCAGTGAGGCGGGGTTAGGCGACACCAGCGGACGCGACTTCTGGCATGACGGGCTCATAGCAGATGCTCCTTTGAAAGCAGATGCACAGCTGGTGGTCTATCAGGGTAAGCTCCTCATAGTCTACAGCGCTTTGCACCCCAAAAACAAGTACTCCTGTTATATGTATGACGTCAAAATCCAACGCTGGGAACCTATGATCATGCCTTCGGAATTTGATGATTGCCATGATGGTCTCGATTCCATTTGTGTGATTGGTGCCGAAATTGCGACGATATGCGGAGGTCGGTGGCACCCTAAAGGTACAGTGTTGTTGAGGAGCTTCCGTCCGGGCCGCAACTCGTGGTTGCCGCTGCCGCAGCCCCCAACCAACATCCGTGGCACTCTTTTCCACTATCAAAACGTGCTTTATTTGTTTGGTGGGTCACCAATCGAACCATTTAACCCTATTCCCTCAGACGAGCTGCATGCCCTCGATCTCGCAGCAAATTCTTGGAAGGTGTGTGCCCGAATGCCCACGCCGCGCTCCGAGGTATGCGTCGTGGAGCTGGATGGATGTCTTTGGGTACTGGGAGGGATGATTAACTGCGTCAATGAAGAGTATGGCCCGCAGGTGGAATCATATGATCCCTCGACGGACCGCTGGACGGTCCAGCCGTCGTTGCCAATGGGTCGGCGAGAGTGCTTTGGCTTGGCAGCGACCGCCCAGCACGGCAAAATCGTCGTTATCGCCGGGAACAATTGGGTCCTCATCCGTGGCGGTTGGGTCCAGTTGCCCAGCGTGCCGAACATATTGCGACCGTGGCACGAAGAGGAAGACTCTCAAGGACTTCTCAATGGGGCTGCCCATTTCGCGAAGCTCGCATCCCTCCCCCTCTGGTAACACCGCCGCTTAGAGCACGACACGCCTAGACCCCGCCGCGGACGAAGAGCCCGATGAGGCGCCAGATGACGCGGACGATGAAGCGCCGCGGCGGCGGCGCGCCGCTCGCGGCGACGGACGTCGTGGCGACGTCGACGGAGGGCGTCTCGGAGAGGGTCTCGGAGAAGGACTCGGCGCGGGGCTTCGTCGTCGGCGACTCGTAGTAGTCGGCGATGAGGTTCGCGGTCGCGTCGCCCTGCTCGGGGGACAGGATCCGGCTGAACGTGCCGCGCGGCTCCGCGTCCGCGCACGGCGGCGAGCCGACGCCCCCCGCGACGTCGGGCCCGCCCGGCGGCGACGGCGGCGTGTCGACGCGCGGCGCCGGCGCGGCGGCGTCGTCGTCGGGCTCGTCCGCGGCCGCGAACATGCGCGTCGCCGCGGACGCCTGCCGCTTCGGCGTGCCCCGCGGCGACGCGACGCCGTCCGAGTCCGGCAGCACGAAGGGCTTCGCGGCGCTCGGCGTCGCGGGGGGCGCGTCGAGCGGCGGCGGCGGCGGCGTCGGCGTGTCCTCGGGGTCGAGGTCGTCCTCGAACGTGACGCTGTCGCCCTGCCCGAAGTCGACGATGCGGCTCCCCCGGCGGCTGCCCTTGGCCGTCTTCGGCGACTCGACGGGCCGCTTGATGGGGATCGTCGTGTTCTCGTCGAAGAGGGCGTTGACGGACATGCGCCGCGCCTTGGCCGGCGACTTGGTCGGCGCGCCCTTGACCTGGGCAGGACAAGAGTGCGAAATTCCCAACTTCAAGGGCTCCTAGCTCGGCCGGTTTCCACTCGTTTCGGCTGATTTTTGGACGAGCGATCATCTCTCGGAACGGTCTCGAAGCGTGGATGCTTTTTCCGGAACGCGCGCGCGCGGAACACTCATGTTGAAGCGACGTTGAATCACCCTTGTCCTGCCCTGCCCTTGACCTTGCCGACGATCTGCACGGAGCTCCGCCGCCGGCTCGGCGACTTCTCCGGGATGCCCTGGAGCGTGCCGACGATGATGACGCTCGGGCCCTTGGGCTTCGACGGCGTCCGCCGGTACTCGACGCCCGTGTCGCGCCGCGACCGCGTCGGCGTCGTCGGCGACGACGACGGCGGCGACGACGACGGCGGCGACGGCGGCGCGTCGTCCGCGGCGACGTCCTCCGCCTCGTCTTCCGCGACGCGCAGGTGCGGGTGCCTCGCGAAGGCCGAGAAGACGGCGAAGAGCGCCGCGCAGGCGTCGTACTTGCGGTCCTGCCGCGGCAAATAGTCGAGCGCGAGCTTGCCGTCGCCGTCCTTCGCGTCCGCGGCCTCCGGCGCGTACTCCAGGAGCGCGCGGATGAGCCGCGGCGCGCCGCGGGCGAGGCGCCAGACGCCGACGCGGTCGTCCTCGTCGGCGAAGTCCTCCTCCGCGGAGTCCGCGCTCTCGTCGTCGTCGCCGTCGCCGCCGTCGGCCCGCGGCGGCGGCACGTAGTGGTCCCGGTCGACGGTCACGGCGCGGCAGAGGAGGTGCAGCGGCGTCTTGCCGTCGGACTTGCGCGGCGTCGCCGCCGCCGGCGCGTGGTTCGCGAGCAGCGCGACGAGCATGCGCACCGTCGCGACGGGCGGAGTGATCGCGCAGACCTGGTGCAGCGCGAGCTCGCCCGTCTCCGGCAGGACGTGCGACGCGGCGTCGCCGTGGTGCTCGAGGAGGAGCTCGAGGCAGCGCGCGACCTTGTGGCTGAGGAGCTCCTCGCACAATCCGTAGCGCGCGTCGCCGCGCGGGAGCCACTCGAGCGGCGTCTTCGACGCCTTCCCCCGCTGGCGGACCGCGCGCGCGGCCGAGTCCGGCGCCGCGGAGACCAACACGTCGAGCAGGTGGGGCGCCGCGGGCGAGATGGACTTGCGGAAGGCGTGGGCCGCGAGGTGGAGCGGCGAGTCGCCCGCGGACGTCGCGCCGCCGACGGCGCCCGGCCCCGCGTCGAGGAGCGCGTCCAGCGCCGCCCACTTGATGTCGTACTTGCCGTCGCCCGTGGGCTCCTTGAGGATGGGCGCGTGCTTGTGGACGAAGTGGTGGAGGGGCGTCCAGCCGCTCTTGTTCCGCAGCTCCGCGGCTTCCGGGTACGCGTCGACGAGCGCGCCGAGGAACGCCAAATCCTGGGGGCAGTCGAGGGACAGGTGCTGCGCGGCGAGGTGGAGGGGCGTCGCCTCGGCGTCGTCGACCATGCGCGCGCCGGCGTTCCCGTTGGCGAAGAAGGGCCGCACGAAGTCGTCGTCGCGGCGGAGGTGCTGGCCGTGGCGGCTCGCGAGGAGGTGGAGCGCGCCGCGGCCGCCCTTGTCGAGCTTCCTCGTCGACGTCTTCGCCGCGTCGTCGGCGAGCACCTCGCGCAGGCAGATGCCCGCGCAGGCGGCGAACCTGGGGTCGTCCACGGGCAGGTTCTCCCAGGGCCGGAGCCCGCGCTCGCACGGCTCAAAGAGCGCGGCGACGGCCTCGGGCCCGCGCTTCCGCGCGGCGTTGACCAGGGCCTGCACCAGCGACGGCGCGTGGTCCGCGATCTTCTTCGCGTTGGCCCGGCACAACAAACTCACGGCCGTGTCGCCGTTCTGGCACGACGCGAGCGCTTTCGACTCCGGGTTCGCGGCCGACGCGCGGACGAGCGCGTCGAAGACGCTCCGCGCGGGCGCGGGCTTCTGCGACGCAACCAACAAATGGAGGGGCGTGAGCCCCGCGCGGTTCGGCGCGCCCGCCGCGTCGCCGTGGGCCTCGAGGAGCAGGCCGAGCTCCTCGGGCGCGTCCTTGAGGTCGCCCGCGAGGGGCTGGTGCGACACGTAGTTGTGGAGGGGCGTGTTGCCCGCGCGGTCCGTGAGCTTGGCGTCCTGGGGCCGCGCTGCTAAAACGCGCCGCACGGACTTGTGGTGGTGCGCACAGACGAGGTGGAGCACCGTGCCGCCGTCGCCGCGCCTGTGCCGAAACCAAATATTCAACCCGACTTCAATGTGAGCGTATTCGAACGGTTTGGACCAGACTCTTTCACTGTGCTTCGAGAACTCGACGAGAGCGATCGATCCGTCCAAAAATCAGCCGAATCGACTTTGATTTGACCGAGCTAGAGAATTCTCAAGTTTGGTGGGGACCCCCCAAACCAGTGGTTGGTTTCGGCACAGCGCCGCGCGTCTTCCGGGGCCTCTCGCCGTCGCCGTCGTCGCCGTCGTCGTCGTCGTCGTCGTCCGGGTCGAGGGCCTCGGGCGTGTCGATGAGCTCGCCGAGGAGCGCGTGGAAGCAGGCGTCGAAGCGGCCGTCGTGGCGCGGCAGGTAGTCCCACGCGCGCTTGCCGTGGCCGTCGGGCGCCGACGCGGCTTTCGGCGCGACCTTCGCTAACAGCGCCAGCACGTCGGGCACGGCGGGGCCGATGTCGCGCGCGCAGGACGCGCAGGCGAGGTGCGCCGCCGTCGACGCGGCGCCGTCGCCCGTGACCATTTTTGCCGATTCGGGCGCGACGCCCAGGAGCGCGCGGACCTTGAAGACGGCCGCCGCGTCGTCGTCGCAGAGCGACGCCGCGAGGTGGAGCGGCGTCTTGCCGCCCCGGTCCGCGCGCGCCGCGGCGCCCGGCGACGCCTCGAGCAGCGCCGCCACGAGCGCCGCGGCGACGGGGCCGTCGCCGCCGCCGTCGTAGTCGGCGACGCGCGGCGCGGGCGCCGCGCACGCGCGGTGCAGCGGCGTCCGCCCGTCGGCGTCGGCGTCGTCGTAGACGGCCGCGCCGCCCCCGAGCACGTCGGCGACGCGCAGCACGTCCTCCAGCGGCACCTCGGCGCCCTCGGCGCCCGCGAGCACGTGGAGCAGCGACCCGCCGGAGGAATCCCTAAAATTCCTCAAGACCTTCTCGAGGAAGCTCCGCCGCCGCAGCTCCTCCTCGGGCTCGAGGCACACCTCGTCGAGACCGCCGACGACGGCCCGGAAGATCGCGCCCGTCGCCGCGCCGTAGTTCGGGTCGTCGGACGGCAGGTGGTCCCAGGGCTTGCGGCCCTGCTTGCAGCTCCGGAGCGCCGCCGCGGGCGCGAACGACGCCAGCGTCCCCAGGGTCAGCGCGGCGCCCGCGGAGATCTTCCGCCGGTGCGCGTAGCACGCGAGGTGCAGCGGCGTGTCGTTGTCGACGATGGTCGTCCGCGCCGCGGCCTCCGGGCACGCGGCGAGCACGGCGTTCAGCCCCTCGAGGCTCGGGTCGATCTGGAACTGCGCGAACAAGTGGAGCGGCGTCCAGTCGAAGGCGTCGGCGTGCGCCGCGCCCGCGGGGAACGCCGCCAGCAGCTTTTCGAGCGCGCCCACGGACCGCCGCCCCGCGAAGCGCTGGCAGCGGCAGCAGAGGTGCACCGCGAGGCGCCCGTCCGCGTTCGGCCGCGCGGCCGCGTCCATCTTCTCCTCCTCGCAGGCCGCGTCGCGCGCCTCGCGCGGGATCGCGTCGAAGCCCTCGTCCGTCGGGGTCGCCGCGGGCGCGTCGTCCGCTTCCTTCGGCGGCGGCGCGGGCCCCTCCTCGGGGCCGCCGTCCGCCGCGTAGTCGCCCAGAAGCACGCCGACGAGCGCCTCGAACTCCGTCGGGCTCCGGTGGCAGGCGCAGAGGCAGTGCAGGGGCGTGTCGCCCTCCTGGTTCTGGTCCTTGAGGGCCTCCGGGTTGAGGCGCACGACGGCCGCGAGCTGGTCCGCGGCCACGTTGCGGACGCACTTCGTGCACACCAAATGCAGGAGCGTGTTGCCCTCCGCGTCCACGAAGTCGCGCACGTCCTCGCCGCCCAGGCCGCCGACGCTCGCGAGGACCTGGGCCACGTCGCCCGAGGCCACGGCCTCCTCGAGGGGCCGCTTCTTGTGGAACTTCTTCAGCGCGACCGCGTACGCGTCCTGGAGCCGCTGCATCTGGCGGCACGCCTCGTCCTCGTCGCCGATGTTCTTGTCCGGGTGGTAGGTCAGCAGCATGGCCTTGTACTCCTTGCGCACGTCGGCGAGGCTCTCGCAGGTCTCGAAGAATTTGGGGTCCCCGGGCCGGTCGCGCGGCCGCGACCCGTCGCCGACGAACGGCGCGGCGCGCCGCTCCTCGAGCGTCCCCAGGTGGCGCTCGACGTCGTCGCCGAAGTCGTCGTAGTCCCCGCCCAGGCCCCGGCAGTAGTGGTTCAGGGGCAGCCAGCCCCGGTGGTCCACCTCCTTGGCCGCCTCGGGGTGCACCTCGATGACCTGCGCGCGCGGGGCGGTCGCGGCGCGGCGCGCGCGACGCGACGCGAGACGGAAAACGCGGGGCGGCGCGCCCGCTTCAGGTGCTCGGGCGCGACGTTGTAGCTCGCGGAGAAGCGGTGGAGCGCCTTGCGCCCCTGGTCGTCGACGCGCGTCGCGTCGAGCGCGTGGCGCGACGCGAGGCCGAGCGTGCTGTGGTTGTCGGTCCCCTTGGCCATGGTCGCGCTCGTCCGCCGCGCCGCCGGCCCCGTCGCCGCGGCGTCCTCGTCGGAAGCCGTCGTGGTCCCGGCGGCCGCGCCGACGACGACGGCGCAGCCCCAAGTTCACACCGACGAGACACCGATGAGAGGGGGGGGGGGGCCTAGAACCGCCTAATTTCGTTAAAGGCCACCTTGAAGACTCGTTGAACCGTGTTTAGGCCGAGTCCGAGTCCGAGTCGCGCCGGTTCGCGCGGCGCGCGGGCGGGGCCGGGCCCTCGCGCGGCTTGCGCGGCTTGTCCCGGGAGTCGTCGGAGTCGTCGGAGTCGGCGCGGCGCGGCGGCGGCTTCCGCGGCGACGACGACCGCGAGTCCGGGGAGTCGTCGCCGTCGCTGCCCCGCGCCTTCGGCCGCCGGTCGTCCGCCGACGACTCGTCGCCGTCGTCGCGCTTGTCCTCGTAGTCCAGCAGCGGCCGCTCGGGCGTCGGCTCGCCGCCGCCGTCGCTGTCGGAGCCGCCGTCGGGCGCCTTCGCCTTCGCCTTCTTCTTCATCGTCAGCGTCCGAGGGAACCGCGGGAACTTGCTCTTGCTCTTGGGCTTGGGCTTGGGCGTGGCCTTCTTGGGCGCCGGCGTCGGCGCCGCGGCGTCGTCGTCCTTGCCCTCGCCGTCCCCGCGGGGCCGGCCGCCGCCGAACGCGTCGCCGCGCGGCGCGGCCGGCTCCTCGAACTGGACGCCGTGGAGGTACTTGACGTGGACGTAGAGCGTGACGAGGCCGAACAAGACGAAGAGGACCAGGAAGGCGATGCCGAACCAGAAGCCCACGGACAGCGCCTTGGCCGGGATCCGCTTCTCGCGGCCCGGCCGCCGCCGCCGGTCCTTCGCGAGCTGCGCGGTCATCGTCGGGACGCCGACGACGAGGCAGAAGAGCGTGAGGATGAGGAAGAAGAGGCGGATGATCGCCGCCTCCTGCAGCGACAGGGGCGCCCTCGGCGGCAGCGCGCGCGGCTGCGCGCGCTCGCGCCGCAGCGCGCGGTGCGCGTAGACGCAGATCGACGCCTCGAGGAACGCCGGGACGAAGTTGAAGAGCGCGAAGTGGTACTCCGTCGACACGTAGGTCCAGCCGTCGAGCTGGGCCCAGGCGCAGGCGACGGCGCCGATCGCGTGCGTCCACACGTTGAACAACGTCGACCGCGGCCAGTCGAGCGACAGCGCGGAGAAGAGGCCGCAGTACTCCACGAAGCAGCAGACGTAGCCCATCCAGAGCACGAGGTCCACGCGGTCCCGGCGCTCCTTGTACTTGTCGTCGATGTCGTCCTGCGTGTAGAGCCGCTGGTTGTGGCCGAGGGCGCCCACGGGCGGCAGCGTCACCTGGATGCCGTCGATCTTGTCGAAGTAGTAGGACACGAGCAGCACGAAGTGCAGCGTCAGGAACCCGAAGCGCCAGGGCACGAGCGCCCCGAAGAGCATCTCGCACTGTCGCCGCGCGCGGAGCCGCGGCGGGTGCCCAGATTTTGAGAGTGGGCAGCCAAAAGGCAACATCTAGTCCAACACAGACTTTGTTTTTGTTGACCCCTTGGCGTCGTGGCGCGGCCATCGATTGGGTGGCAGCCTGTTAGCCTCGTCGAGGAGCATCGGACCGGGTCAACGCGCACACGTGCATCAGGCCCGCCTCGCCTCGCACACGTGCGCGGCAGCCGCGCCGCCGCGTCGCCGCGGACCGCGGCGACCGGACCATTGCCTTCCACTTCTGCGGCCGGCGGGCCCCAGGCGAGCGGGCAGCCCCGATGTCGGCGCGCGACCGCGAGCACCTGATGGAGCAGAAGCGACAGGCCGACGAGAAGGAGGCCGCGGAGCTCGCGGCGATGACGCCGGAGCAGCGGGCCAAGTTCCTGGCCGACAAGGAGGAGGCGGCCAAGCACGACGCGGCCAAGTCGAAGCACTTTAAGCGCCTCGGCGCGGGCGCCGGCAGCAACGCGGCGATGATCAAGGCCGGCGGCCGCGGCGGGCGGGGCGGCCGCGGCGGCCGCGGCGGCCGCGCGTCGTCGGCGGCGAAGAAGGTGCTGCGCCCGCCGAGCCCGCCGACGACGGACGACGAGGGCAACTTCAGCGACGACGGCGGCCACCACGCGGACGACCCGCCGCCGGCGCCGGAGGCGGCGGAGGCCGCGGACTCGTCGGGCGTCAAGGCGCCGAAGCACTCCGCCGAATTCTCGCTCGACGCGCCCGCGCCCGCGCCGGCCGCGCCGCCGGAAAAGACGGCGCCGGTCATGAGAAAGTCGGTCTACAAAACGAAGGGCCGCAACTCCATCCGCCTGAGCCTGAGCGCCGCGGCGCCCACGGACGCCATGCTGAGCGCCGCCGCGCCGGCGGCCGCGGAGCCCGCGCCCGCGCCGGAGCCCGCGCCCGCCGCCGCCGCGCCCGCGCCCGCGGCGTCGGACTGGCAGGAGCTCCAGACGCCCGAGGGCTGGTCCTATTTCTACAACTCGACGACGGGCGAGGTGACCTGGGAGAACCCGAACGGCGGCAACGGCGCGGCGGCGGCCAGCGACTGGACGCAGGCGCAGACGCCCGAGGGCTACACCTACTGGTACAACGCGTCCACGGGCGAATCGTCCTGGACGGACCCGACCGCGGCGTCCAGCGACTGGACGAGCGCCTACACGGACGAGGGCTACCAGTACTACTACAACACGGTCACGGGCGAGACCTCCTGGGAGCCGCGGTAGGTCCGACCCGCGACGTAAAGGATCGGCCCGGATTTTTTTCTTCGCCGCGGTAGAAGTCGCGGTAGGCCCCCGCGACCTTGTCTTTGAGGAAGAGACTCCGGCACTTACTCCAAGTCTTACTCCTTAACTTACTCCGGCGGTTTTATGAGTCGAGGTAAACACGAGGTAAACAACGCGAAGTTGCACTCATTTACCGGAGCGCCGCGCGCGTTGGCGCTGGGCCGCAGCCCCTCTCTCCGCCGCGGCCATGGCGCCGAAGAAGAAGAAGGGCGGGAAGAAGCGGCGGAAGATCGACGAGAAGGTCGCGGTGAAGCTGCAGAGCAAGCTCAAGGCCGCCTGCATCGACACGGCGCCGGCGAAGTTCTTCAAGAAGTTCGACAAGGACAAGAGCGGCGACATGAACGCCAAGGAGCTGTCGAAGATGATCCGCGTGTCGCTGAAGATCAGCGAGAAGGAGCTCAGCGAGGCCGACGTCAAGGCGCTCATCGACGCGCTCGACGACGACGGCTCCGGGAGCCTGTCGCTCGACGAGCTCGCGGACTTTGTGGAGCACGGCACCGCGACGTTCTACGCGGACCACGCGGCGACGGAGGCCGCCGACGCGGGGAAGCGCACGACGAAGTGGGGCGCCAAGGACGAGCCCGACGAGATGAAGAAGCTGCGCCGCGCGACGGCCGCGAAGGAGCGGAAGAAGAAGACGCTCGACGAGGCGGAGATGGCCCACTTCCAGATGAAGCTCCAGGCGGCGACCTTCGGCCACTCGCCCCAGGAGCTCTTCAAGAGCTTCGACAAGAGCAGCGACGGCCTGCTCAACGCCGAGGAGCTGACGCATCTGATCAGGGTGGAGCTGCGGATCCCGGGGTCGGAGCTCAGCGACGACGAGATCGCCATGTTCATCAAGGCCGTCGACGACGACGGCACGGGGAACCTGTCGCTCGCGGAGCTCGGCGACTTCGTCGAGCACGGCACGAAGACCTTCTACCAGGACCACGAGCACACGGAGGCGCTCGAGGCCGCGGCCGACGCCGCGGACCCCTGTGTGGAAACCAACCACTGGTTTGGGTGGTCCTGACCAAACTTGAGAATTCTCTAGCTCGGTCAAATCGAAGTCGATTCGGCTGATTTTTGGACGGATCGATCGCTCTTGCCGAGCTCTTGAAGCCCAGCCGAAGAGTTTGTGTCAAAAATTCGAATACGCTCACATTGAAGTCGGGTTGAAGATTTGGTTTCCACACAGGCGGACCCGGAACACGCGCACAAGCACCACAAGTGGGGCGAGCGCGCCGAGGAGTGCGAGGCGGCCAAGGAGGACCGCAAGGCCCGGCTCGCCAAGAAGGCGCGGCCCGACTTCGACCCCGACGAGATGAAGAAGCTCCAGGGTCGGCTGCCGTGTGGAAATCGACCGCCGGTTCGGGACGTCCCGACCAAACTTTGAAATTCTCTCGCTCGGTCACATCGACGTCGATTCGGCTGATTTTTCAACGAATCGATCGCTCTCGTCGAGTTCTCGAAACACGGCCGAAGAGTCCGGTCCAAACCGTTCGATTACGCGCACATTGAAGTCAGCTTGAATATTTGAGTTCCGCGCAGGTCGACTCCAGGCGGCGACGTACGGCGACGACCCGCTCCACATCTTCCGGAAGTTCGACGCGACGGGCGACGGCGTACTCGACGTGCCCGAGCTCACGAAGATGATCCGCCTGGAGCTGAAGATCTCCGGGTCCGAGCTCCCCGACGACCTCATCGTCGCGTTCGTGCGCGCGATCGACGACGACGGGAGCATGACGCTCAGCATCGACCTGTGTGCAAATCAAATCTTCAACCCGACTTCAATGTGAGCGTATGCGAATGTTTTGACACGAGCACTTCCGCCGTGCTTCGAGAACTCGCCGAGAGCAATCGATTCGTCCAAAAATCAGCCGAATCGACTTCGATTTGACCGAGCGAGAGAATTCTGAAGTTTGGCCCCGACGTCCCAGCTCACTGGTTGATTTGCACACAGGCATCGACGAGCTCGCGGACTTCGTGCAGTACGGCATGGACACGTTCTACGCGGACCACGAGGAGACGGAGGCCAAGTCCCAGGCCGGCGGCCACAAGAAGGGCCTGGGCTGGGGCGAGCGCGCCGCGAACCCGGCGTGCATGACCGTCGACCCCGGGCCCGGCGACGACGAGGCGAGCCACGTGTCGGGGCTGAGCCACGAGGGCTCGAGCCTCGCGACGGCGGACAACCCCCACGCGCTCGAGAAGACGGCGGCGCGGATCCACGACGACGACGGCGGGCCCGCGGGCGCGCCCGCCGCGGCGCTGTCCGCCGACGACCTCGAGCGCGAGATCCGGGAGACGGAGGAGCGGCTGCGGCGCCTCAAGGCGGCCAAGGCCGCGCGCGCGCGCGTGACGACGAAGCAGATCTACCGACCGAACCCGAAGCCCGACTCGCCCCACGCGCTCTTCGTCGACGAGCTGCTGGACGACCCGCTCCTCCGGCTCGACGACTGCGGCCTCGAGCCCGCGCTCCGCGCGTTCCGCGCGTCCATCGTCGCCGAGGCGCCGAACAACGTCGCCACGGCGACGGCGCTCCTGAAGCTGGGCAACCTGCTCCGCGACGTCGCCGAGGGCCGCGAGTACACGCTGAACAAAGCGACGGACGCGCACCGCCGCGCGCTCTCGCTCGTCGCGACGGCGCTCTCCAAGGAGCACTCCGCGACGCTCGCCATCCGCTTCGCCCTCGCGGACACGCTCCTCCTGCTGAAGGACTCCAAGGGCGCGCGGGCCCAGTACCAGGCGGTCCTCGCGGTCCAGTCGAAGCAGTTCCCGCCGCCGAAGACCATCGGCCGGACCAAGGAGCGGCTCGCGAAACTGGCGGAGGCGTAAAGGTTTGTGTTTTTCGGTGTTGGATTTGTGGGTGGACACCTCCTCGTGGAGGCGCTCGTGGCCTCGACCCGGAGGCCTACCAACGCCTCTCACTCAGGTCGCTGTTCAAAGCGGGATCGTTCCATCCACAAGCCCCAACACCGAATCACCTCCTCGTAAGTCCTCGCGCGACCCGCCCCCGCGCCCGCCCGTATCGATCGCCTCGTTCGACGCCGCGCTCACGTCCGTCCGCGCCACACCGTGCGCGCCGCACCCGAATCGCTCGACGGCGAATCGAAGCTCGAGGAAGAGAGGAATTCGAGTTGATTGGTGCTTGGCGTTTGATCATGCCTCGTGTACGGGGCGCCACGGGGTTCGCGCCCGAGGAAACGGGCGCGTCGCGGTCGCATACCAATCGCACAACGCGCGCGCGCGCCCGCCCGGCCCTGAATTTCTCCTCGCGTTGCGCGCGCGAGCCGTTCGCGCGCGCGCGCCGCCAAACCCGACCGTCGTCTCCCTGCCCGCCGCAGACACGCTCACCGCCATCACCATGTCTGACGCCATCGCCACCGCTCCGCTCGCCGAGACCTCGAACGCGCCCGCCCCGGGCCCGGAGACGGTCGTCGTCAAGAAGGTCAAGACGTCGACGACCGAGTCGTCGCCGACAAAAGTCGAGGCGGTGCCCGCGCCCAAGTCCGAGGAGCCCGCGGCCGAGGCCGTCGAGCCCAAGCCCATGGACACGGTACGTCGCGCCGCGTCAACCCGCCCCCCGCCCCCCGTCCCCCCCTCGGAGCCGCGCGCGCGCGATCGCGTCGACTGCGCGATTCCGCCCCCCGGAAGCGCGATTTTGAAAATCGATTTTTAGGACGCGCCGCCGCCCAAGGAGGTCGCCATGGACACGGAGGCGCCGCCCGCGGAGGCGCCCAAGCCCGAGGAGCCCAAGGCCGAGGCCCCGAAGCCCGAGGAGGCCAAGCCCGAGGAGCCCGAGGCCGCGCCCGCCGCGCCGGAGAAAGCCGCCGAGGAGCCCGTCGTCGAGAAGGCCGCCGAGCCCGAGGCCGTCAAGGAGGTCGTCACGGAGGCCGTCAAGGAGGTCGCCAAGGAGGAGCCGCCCAAGGAGCCCGCGCCGCCGGCCGACGTCGAGACGCCCGTCGAGCCCGCCGCGGAGAAGGCCGCCGAGCCCGCCAAGGAGGAGCCCGTCAAGCCCGAGGAGCCCAAGGTCGCCGAGCCGGCCGCCGCCGAGCCCGCCGCGGAGAAGGCCGCCGAGCCCGTCGAGCCCGAGGAGCCCAAGGTCGCCGAGCCCGCCGCCGCCGCCGCCGAGCCCGCCAAGGAGGAGCCCGCCAAGGAGGAGCCCGCCAAGGCCGAGTGAGCGCCGCGCTTCCGCAAGCTTCGCCGGGCCGCTTCGGCCGCCGGGCGCCCCGCGCGAGGCCGGCGCGGCCGGGAGATCGAACATCGCTCCCGCGCCTCCCCGCCCGCCCCGCGCGCGTCGTTCCCCGTTTCCCCCACTTCCAGCGCGCTCCTTCCCTCCCGTCGCACCCCGTGCGCCGAGAGCGAGGTACTTAACAGAGCAGTCGTCCGACACGTGTCCTGCGGCGCGGCGCGCGCGCGAGTCGCCGAAGCTCGAGAACCCCCGGCCAGGGGCTCGGAGGGTGGCAAGAGGCATGGCTCGAGGGAGAGCTTGAGAAACACGAGCATGCGGCAGTTCGCGCCGCCGCCGGACGCGGAGGACTTCTACCGCTGGCGGCGCCAGGACACGCTGGCCTCCGAGCGCGACTCCGTCGCGTCGGAGCGGCGGTCGCTCACGCAGCGGTCGCCGAGCGCGCCGCCGGCCGTCGGCGCCGCCCAACAGGAGTGCAAGGCGCCGCCCGGCGAACACGACGCGTCGGACCGCGTCGCGCGGACGGCGTGCTGGTTCACGCTGCACACGATCGACGAGGCCTGCACGGCGACGGCGCGCGTGAGCGGCGGCGACCTCGCGAAGGTCCTCGCGCTCGAGACGCCGCGCGCGTGCGTGCGCTGGGTCGAGCTCGACCCGCGCGCGACGCTCGGCGCCGTGCGCGTCGCCTTCGCGGGCCGGAAGCTCCACGCGTTAGCCGAGGAGCTGCTCACGCGGCCGGACGGCGACGCCTACGCGTCCGTGGAGCGCGCGCCGGGCGGCTGGACGCTCTGGTCCGCGCCGCTGCCGCTGCCGCGGCCGGGGCGGCGCGTGCTCTTCGCCGCGGCCTGCAGCCGGGACCTCGTGATCACGGCGCTGCGCGTCGAGGACGAGGACGTGCGGCCGCCGAGCCCGATCCCGGCGCCGCGGAGCCGCCGGCGCCGCTGGGCCGCGGACGTCGCCGACGACGCGCCGGCCGACGACCTGCGCCAGCGCCTGCTCGACGACGACCCGCGGGACCGCGAGAGCTCCGCGGATTCGGGGTCGCCGCGGCTCCGGTTCCGCGATCCGCACGAGGCCGCGCCCTGGCGCCTCAGCGAGTCGCGCGCGGACGACGGCTTCGAGGCGTTGGTCCAGTGCGTGCGGTCGCGCCTGGCTCTCGGCGGCGACGACCGCGCGCGCATCGCGCGGCTCGGCGGCGCCGCCGTCTGCTGCCGCTTGGTCGAGGGCGCGCTCGACGACGCGCGCGGCGCGTTCGGCGCGCTCGACGCGGCGGCGTCGCGGCTCGCGCAGGTCGTGAGCGACGACCGGAGCGGCTGGCGCCAGCGGCGCGTCCGCTTCAACTACACCGTGCGCAGCCTCCTCGACGCGGGCCAGCACCGGACGCAGATCTCGCGGCTCCGCGACTACTACGAGCAGGTCCACGCGGCCGCGAAAGCCGCGTGCGCGGCGACCAAGGACGACGAGGAGCTGGCGCCCTGGACGCGGCGCCTCGCGCTCCTCGCGCAGGGCGACCTGCGGCGGCTCCAGCGCGCGGACGCGCTGCTCCACTCCTACGTCATGCTCGCGCGGCTCCGCCACGAGGACGACTACAACCGCGTCAACGTTTGTTTGGCGCTCATCGCGACGATCTTTCTGCCCCTGACTTTTGTGCGGTTTCCGGAGATCGATTTCGTCGCCGACGAACCGAAACCCCACGCCCCGCGCGCAGGTGACCGGCGTCTTCGGCATGAACTTCGACTACCTGCCCATCGAGCACCTGCCCTGGGCCTTCGCGTCGTTCTGCATCGGCTCCTTCGCGCTGGTCCTCGTCGCCATGTGCGGCTTCTGGTGGCGCGGCTGGCTCAACGTCGCCGCAGTCCTGCCCGACGACGACAAGCCCCACGTCGTCTAAGGGTGTGCACAAACAGGGGACTTAGGAGGGCCCGGGCGGAGCTCACCTCCGGAAGACGCGCAGCGGCGCCGTGACGACGCTCGAGATGGCCGTCTTGATCGTGGTGACCACGCTCTTCTCCGGCTCCTCGATGCCGCAGATGTCCGCGTACTCGCGGGCTCCCGCGTAGCCGTAGAAGCTGCCCCCGCGGACGCCGAGCGCGGAAGCGAACTTCTTCGACGCGCCCGCGATGGCCTCGACGACCGCCTTCTCGGGCTCTTGGATCCCCAGCATCTCGGCCGAGGCGCGGGCGTCCATGTCCAGGGAGCCGCCGCGGACGCCGAGCGCGGAGGCGAACTTCTTGGACGCGCCGGTGATGGCCTTGACGACCTCCTTCTCGGGCTGCTCGATGCCGAAGAGTTCGGCCGAGGCGCGGGCGTCCATGTCCAGGGAGCCGCCGCGGATGCGGTGGACGACGCCGCGGGGCGCGGCGTCGGCCCCGAGGGACGCGATGACGAGGAGGCAGAACACGTTGCAGCCCATCGTGGTTCTTGATCGCTGTCGGGAGTTTCTTAGCTGGAACAAGTTGAGTCGAGACAGTCAGATGCACGAATATCCGAGAGGAGAGAGAGCGGGCAGCCCCGAGGTCCGAGGATGAGGGCCGCGCTCCTCGTCGCCTCGGTCGCCGGCGCGAGCGTGCCCGGCGTTCCCGACAGCGTGGGCTACCTGTCGACGACCCATACGATCCCGACGCCGCTGGACAACCGGACCAACGGCACGGGCGCCGCGACGCGCTATTCCCTCATGCTCGAGGGCTGCTGCGGCTGGGGCGCCTACAACCTGAGCGCGCCGCAGCTGCTGCACACGGAGATCGACCCGGAGGGGTCGGCGCTCTTCGACCTGTCCTTCACCTACGACAAGCTCTACGACTTCTTCGGCGGCGACGACGCGGGAAAGATCTCCTGGTGGTGGGCCGAGTACACGCACGGCGTGCGGTATTGCGTGGAGGGCGACGGGGAGAAGCTCTTCCTCGCAGCCTGCGACGACGACGACCGCGGGCCGCAGACCTTCGAGCGCAGGGGCGGGTCCCTCGCGCACCGCGCGAGCGGCACGTGCCTGCACGTCGACGGCGACATGGTCTGCAGCGGCCAGAGGAGCAGCGGCTGCATCTTCCTCGAGGGCCCGGCGAGCCTGCGGGCGTGCACGGGCCGCGCCGCCCAGCTCTGGGACTTCCCGCGCCGCGCGCCGGGCCTCGACGCGGCCCTCGCGGCCATCGCCAACGGGACGCGCGCGGCGCCGTAGAGTTACGCCCCCTTCTCGACCATGAAGGTGACGCGGGGCCGCGTCGGGTGGGCCGGCGGCTTGGGCAGGTAGGTGCCGAAGACCCTGTCGGGCCACGCCGCGGAGACGCCGTGGTTCTTGTAGGGCGACATGTGGTGGATGCCGTGGTGCCGCGCGGCGCCCGGCACGAGCTCGGGCAGGTCGTGGGAGAGCTGGTGGAAGAAGGCGTACTGGAGCAGGCCCAGCGTCGCGAAGCGCGTCAACGGGCAGGCGTAGGCCGCGAGCATCGCGGGGTAGCACCAGAGCTCGAGCGTCTCCGCGAGGGGGTCGCCGGCCGGGAGCTTGATCTCGCGGTGGTGCTCGCTGTGGTACTTGCCGAAGAAGGACCAGGGGTTCTCGTGCATGAGGCGGTGGGCCCAGTAGTCGCAGAAGGGGTTGACGACCGCGATCTGACACGCGAGGCCGACGAGCGTGAGGACGTTCCAGCACGGCTGGAACCAGTGGTTATAAAGCACGTAGCCGAGGCCGGCGACGCAGACGATGATGGTCACGACGGCGCGCAGGAAGCGCGCGGGGATGCCCCGGCGCGACGCGACGGCGTCGACGTTCAGGCCCATGCTTGATGTCGCGGCGATGAGTTCGATCGTGATTGGGCAGCGTCGCGCTCCGAGGAATGCGCTTCGATCTTGATGACTTCTTGCTGTCTCGGTGCACTCGGCTCTTGCTTCGGCGCCCCACGCCACTGTCGAGCACCACGCGCGACGTGCGCGACGCATTGAATCGCGGGCGCACCGCGTCGAAGGCATCGCATCGAATCGCGGGCGCTTCGCGTCGCGCCGCCGCATCGACATGGGCAAGAAATCGCGGCGCAAGCCCGAGAAGAAACAGAAGGACGACGACGAGGACTGGGGCCAGCCGGACGCGGCGGGCGACCAGGACTGGTGGGTGGCGGGCGAGGGGGGCGACGCGATCCGCGAGGCGATGCACCAGCTCGGAGACGCGTCGGAGAACCCGGAGCACCCGCTGGCCGCCCGGGACCGCGCGTTCGGGCTGTCGCCGATCACGCAGCGCATGAAGCGGGAAAAGAAGCGGCGGCCCGCGTGCGACGTCTGCGGCGCCGAGGACGCCAAGTTCAAGTGCGTGCGCTGCAACGCGCAGTACTACTGCGGCAAGGAGTGCCAGGCGGAAGCGTGGGGCGCGGGCGGCCACAAGCGCGCGTGCCGGACGCTCCGCGCCGCGTCCGCGGCGGCGGCCGCCGCCGTCGTCGCGCAGCTCAACGACGCGTCGCTCCCGGCGCCGCTCCGCGTCCGCGACCTCGACCGCCTCGACACGGGCGACGTCTACGAGCCCGCGGTCGAGTTCGGCCTCCACGCGGCGCTCCGGGGCGCGCTGCTGTCGCAGTGCGCGTTCGCGGAGCTCCGCGACCTCTTCGCGCACTCGCCGATGGCCTGCAGCGTGGCCCAGTTCGTCGGGAGCATGGTCTTCCGCGGCGAGCGGCGCTCGCGCGCGGGCTCGGGCGGCTTCGGCAAGTCCGACGGCGCGCGGCTCGCGGCGTTCTTCGAGTCCGCGGACGACGCCTGGGACGTCTACCTCCGCGCGATCGCGACGCTCGCGCGCGCCGCCACGGACCGCGCCGTCGCGGCGGACCCGCGCGCGCACGCGCTCTGCCACCGCGCGGGCCGCGACGCGCTCTGCTCGCTCGTCACGGCCCTCGCGCGCCGCGAGGTCGCCGGCGCGCTCCTCGAGGCGCGCGGCGGCGACGGCGACTTCGTCCGCGCGCGCGCGCTCGCGTCCGCCAAGCTCCTCAAGAAGCTCCTCGACCACCTCGCGGCCGTGTCCGAGCGCGAGGACCCCAACTCGACGCTCGAGGCGAACGCGAACCAGATCGTCGCCATGTTCGCGCACTGGTGCCGCGTCCACGACGTCGGCGTCGACGTCGACCGCGTCGTCGGCCTCAAGGGCGCGCGGCGCGAAATGTACGCGCGCATGGCCGTGCCCCTCGGTGAGGCGACGATCGACAAGGGCCGGCTCCTCCGGTCCGAGGAGTCACGGGCGGCCCTCGCGGGGATCGCGCGGAGGCCCTGAGGTCGCGCGCCACGCAAAAGCATGTGTGTTCAAGTAACCAAGTCTCAAGCACGGTCTCAAGGCGTTTCAACATCGAGGAAACTTGCCACGACCTTTGCCTGCAAGTGCAGGGATATATCGGCTGAGTTTTGTGGCAGAAGCAATGGGACGCGCTTCTTCGGTCGCAGCCCGCCTCCTTCTCGCCTGCGTCGCGGCGGTCCGGGCGGTGCCCGTCGTAGAGGCGTTGCCGAGCGACGCTGCACCGACGACGACGGGCGAGAACGCCGCGCCTCTGCCGAGCGACGCCGCACCGAAGCCCCACATCGTCTACTTCCTCGTCGACGACCTCGGCTGGCACGACGTGCCCTGGCACAACCCGAGCCTCAAGACGCCGACGCTCGCGGCGCTCGCCGCGGACGGCGTCGTCCTCGACCGCTTCTACGCCTACCGGTTCTGCTCGCCGTCGAGGAGCAGCCTGCTGAGTGGCCGCTACCCCATGCACGTCAATCAGTATAACATGGCCGGCGACGCGCTCGGCGGCGGCGTCCACGTCAACATGACGACGATCGCGAAGAAGCTCAAGGGCGCCGGCTACGCGACGCACCAGCTGGGCAAGTGGCACGCGGGGCAGAGCAGCGCGGACCTCGTGCCCGCCGCGCGCGGCTTCGACACGTCGCTGGGCTACCTCAACGGCGCCGAGGACCACTGGACCCAGGCGCGGCCCGCCTGCGGCGTCGGGAATTTCGTGGACCTCTACGCGACGGACGGGCCGGCCTTCGGGAAGAACGGCACCTACGGCGCGCAGATCTACCACGACGCGGCCCTCGACATCATCGCGGACCACGACGCGTCCGTCCCGCTCTTCGTCTACTTCGCCTTCCAGATCAACCACGCGCCCATGCAGGTGCCCGACGCGTACGCGCGCGTCTACCCCTGCGACGACCCGAAGACGTGCGGCGTCCGGTCGACGTACCAGGCCATGACGGCCATGGCCGACGACGTCGTGCGCAACGCGACGGCGGCCCTCAAGGCCAAGGGCATGTGGGACGACACCCTCATCGTGCTCACGAGCGACAACGGCGGGCCGTCGGGCACGGACGCCGACAGCTCGAACAATTTTCCGTTGCGCGGGGGCAAGTACAGCGACCTCGAGGGCGGCGTCCGCGCCGCGGGCCTCGTCGCCGGCGGATTTTTACCGGACGCCGCGCGGGGCAGGACCCTCGACGGCGCGGGGGCCTACGTGCACATCTGCGACTGGTACGCGACGTTCGCGCGCCTGGCGGGCGTCGACGCCGCGGACGACGCGTCGGACGCCGACGGCCGGCCGCTGCCGGCCGTCGACTCCCTCGACGTCTGGGACTTTCTCTCCGGGGCGGCGGACGCGTCGCCGCGGACCGAGATCGTCCTCACGGCCGGCCGCCACCAGCCCGGCGGCTCCGGCGGCGGCTATATCGGCGGCCGCTACAAGGTCGTCTTCAACACGCAGTCGCCGGCCATCTGGAACGGGCCGGAGTACCCCAACGGCACGAAGCCCGCGCCCATCTCGACGGACTGCGGCGCGTCGGGCTGCCTCTTCGACGTCGTCGGCGACCCGTCCGAGTACGTCGACCTCGCGGCGGAACTGCCGGACGTCCTCGCGAACCTGACGGCCCGCTGGAAGGCCGCGGCGGCGACGGCCTACCAGACGCCCTACGTCGGCGGCGCCATGAACTGCAGCGCGCCGCGCGTCAAGGCCATGCTCGCCGGCGGCTTCTGGACGCCGTGGACCGACGACCACGCGACCCGCGGCGCCATGGCCGCCGGCGGCTTCTGGACGCCGCGGGACTAAACGTGATTTTCGAGGCTAGGCTCGCCACCAACGGGCCGGAGCGGCGGATGCACGCAGCGATCGAATTACATGAGGTCGTTCTTCGGGAGGATGAGGTCCGACGGGAACCAGGACCCCGTGACGGCCGGGTGGTCCCGCGACGTGACCGTGGAGCTGCGCTCCATGAGGGGGCTGATCCAGGCGTGGGCCAGCGCGTCCTGGGCCGTGATGCGCTTCTCGACGTCGACGACGAGCACGCGGTCCGTGAAGAGGTCCTGGACGACGTCGTCGACCGCGTCCCAGTCGGAGTTCTGGATCTCGCCCTCGAGGATGTAGCCGATGGTCTCGGCCTTGCGGTCGCCCTGGAAGGGCAACGACCCGAAGAGCACGTAGAAGCCGATGCAGCCCACGGACCAGACGTCCGCGGGGAAGCCGCAGCCCTGGCGGAGGAACACCTCCGGCGCGCAGTACTCGATCGTGCCCCGGCAGTCCTCGAGGTCCTCCTCCGGGCGCAGCACCTGGGCGATGCCAAAGTCCGCGACCTGGATCGAGTTGTAGGACTCGTCGTCGTCGCATAAGATGTTCTCCGCCTTGAGGTCGCGGTGCGCGATGCCCAGCTGGTGCAGGTAGGCGACGGCGTCGAAGACGCGCTGGCAGACGCGGAGCGCGCTGAGCTCGCCGTAGGCCCGCGTGCGCTCGAGGCGCTGGCGCAGGTTCCCGAGGCGGTAGGGCAGGACGATGTGGATGCGGTCGCGGTCCTCGAAGACCTCGATGAGCGGGAGCACGTGCTTGTGGCTCGCGAGGCGCATGACCGCGATCTCCCGGCGGCACATCTCGCGGTGGTCCTTGGCCTCGTCGTCGTCCTTGTCGCCCTTCTCGATGTGCTTGACGGCGACGCGGTCCTTGGAGGCCCGGTGCGTCGCCTCGTGGACGGACGCGAACGCGCCGGACCCCAATTCCGCGCCGACGTCGTAGAAGTCGTCGAGCGCGTGGGCCTTGCCGCCGATGGCCGCCCGGATCGCCGCGACCCACTTGTCGCGCTCGACTTCGTCGGCGGCGTAGAGCTGCTGGGGCCGCTCGCCGAGCTTCTCCGCGTCCCAGTGCACGACGCGGAAGCCCCGGAGCTCGCCCTCGTCGACGGGCTCGCACTGGCAGCCGCCGAGGAAGACGAGCCCCCGCGGCGCCGGGTCGCTCGCCTCCTTGAAGTAGTAGAGGATGTTCGACACGAGCTTGAAGTGGCGCCGGTGCCGCGCGCCGAGCGTCGCCTGGGCAGGACAAGAGAGCGAAATTCCCAACTTCAAAGGCTCCTATCTCGGCCGTTTTCCACTCGTTTCGGCTGATTTTTGGACGAGCGATCATCTCTCGGAACGGTCTCGAAGCGTGGATGCTTTTTCCAGAACGGGCGCGCGCGGAACACTCACGTTGAAGCGACGTTGAATCACCCTTGTCCTGCCCTGAGCGTCGCGCCGACCTTCCACAACGGGCCCTCGAGCACCTCGCCCTCGCCCAGGGGCGCGAGCGCCCCGAAGCTCGTCGACTTCTGGAAGGACGGCCGCTTCCGCGCGCCGGCGAGGTTCTCGTCGCTCTTGCTCCGGTGGTTGAGAGCGGCGCCGAACGACACGGCCTGGGCCATCGACGCGTCGAAGAATTCGAGCACGCCGGGCGTCTTCCCGACCCAGACCTCGAACTGGGCGAGGTCCAGCTTGCCCTCGTGGTTCGCGTCGCACTCGTCGAAGGCCTTGTCGGCGACGTCGTCGTTCGTGAAGTCGAGGAAGGACCGGCGCTTCTTCCGCGTCGCGGGCGCGCCGGGCGACGAATTCGCGCCCCGCCGCGAGTCGCCGCAGGCCTCGTCGAGCTCCTCGCGGGGCAGGTGGTTCACGAGCGCCCGCAGCTCCGCCTGGGACACCTCGCCGTCGCGCTTCAGGTCGTACATGTCGAAGAGGAGGCGGATTTTGGAATGTCTTGTACCGCGGCACGCGCGCGCCATGCCCGCGACGAAGTCGTCGAAGTCGAGCGCGCCGGCCTTCTTGCGGTCGAAGGCGATGAAGAGCTGGTCCCCGTGGAGCCCGGGCAGCGTCGCGAAGAACTCGAGGAAGTGCTCGAGGTCCACGGTCGCGTTCGGCGACCGCCGCGCGAGCTGGTCGAAGAGGCGCTTCAGGTTGTTTAGTTCTTCGTCGCTGAAGCAGTCGGGCTTGTTGGCCGTCGTGTGCGACGACAGCGCATTCTGGGACGCCGACTGGCCCATGGCGTCCGTCACATCCACACCCTGCCCTTCCTGGAGTGCGACGTCCGAAAGGGCAAGGTAAATTTAGCTGCCACTTCAAGGTGAAGATTATTTTGACCACGACGAGATTCGTATGTGGGCTTGCGCCGTGGCACGCCGCGCGCTGGCGCCCGCGCGCCGCGTCGTTCGCCCGACCTGGCGCCGCTTCGGCGACGACGAGAAGAAGACGCAGCGCAAGATGGACTCGTCGACGAGCGTGCGGCGGTCCGACCCCGTCGGCGGCATCCTCTTCGGCCGCGACGCGAGCCTGCCGGCGCTCGTCGTGCTCTGCGGCTTCTTCTTTTATCTCAACTACCAGCGGCGCGAGGAGGAGCAGGAGGAGGCGCTCGAGCTCGAGGCGCAGGCGCACAACCTGGCGAAGATCCGCGAGGCGCGGCAGTCGCGGCGCGACGAGATGGACCTGCCCGCGCGGCTCGCGTTCAAGCGGAACCAGCTCGCCTACTTCCGGGGCGAGGTCGACAAGGGCGACGGCGACGCGCGGCTCCTCGCGCGCGTCGAGCGCCTCGAGCGCGAGGTCGAGGCGCTCGCGCGCGCGGTCGACGCGCGGCCCGTCGTCCCCTAGCTAAAAAAAACAGTATCACAGCGTGTCGAAGTCGTGGAAGAGGGCCTGGCCCTTGCCGTCGAGGGGCTCCTCGATGCCCGGCTCGCTGTCCGGGTAGCGGTCGAAGTGGCGCGTGTCCTGGGGCCCCGCGCGCTCGGGGACGTGGGGCGACTTGCACTGGCAGTAGTAGAGCGCGTCCCAGTTCGTCCGCGAGAACCAGGAGTGGGCCTTGAGGTCCTCGGCGCCGTTCTCGCCGCAGCCGAGGCGCTTCGTCCGGTCGATCTGGAGCAGCTTCTTCACGATGGCCGCGGCCTTGCCGTCGACCGTCGCCGGCAGGTCCCACTTGCCGTTGAGGATGCGCTCGTAGATGCCGAAGGGCGTCGTGTCGAAGAAGGGCGGGAAGCCCGCGGACATCTCGAAGATGAGCACGCCCAGCGCCCACCAGTCCACGGACCGCCCGTGGCCCGCGTTCGTGATGACTTCGGGCGCGAGGTACTCGGGCGTGCCGCAGGGCGTGAAGGTGCGGTCGTGGACGACCTTGGCGAACCCGAAGTCGATGATCTTCACGTTGCCCGCGCCGTCGATGAGCACGTTCTCCGGCTTGAGCGCGCGGTACGCGACGTGCATGCCGTGGAGGTACTCCAACACCAAAACGACCTCCGCGGCGTAGTACTTGGCGCGGTCGTTGTGGAACTTGCCCGCGTTGCGCAGCAGGGCGTAGAGCTCGCCGCCGATGACGAACTCCATCAGCAGGTAGAGCCGGAGCTCGTCCTGGAAGTTGCTGTGCAGCGTGACGATGAACGGGTGCCGCAACAGCCGCAGGAGCTTGACCTCGGACTTGATGTGGTCCAGCTGCGACATCTGGAGCACGTAGGTCTTCTTGATGATCTTCAAAGCGTAGTGCTGGTTCTCGGCGATGCTCCGCACGAGGCGCACGCGGCCGAAGGTGCCCGTGCCCAGAGTCTCGAAGATCTCAAAGTCCGACAGCAGGTAGGTCTTCGTCTCGCGCTTCACGGGCAGCGACTCCGGGTTCCCGCCGAAGCGCTGCACCTTCTTCGAGAAGAGGCCCATGCGGCCCCGCGGCGCCGGGGCCCGTCGTCGTTGGGGGCCGGCAGCCCCGGCGCTCGACGCGCTGGCGGCAACGTGTGTGTTTGCCGGGGCGGTGAAAACAAATCTCATTAGCGCTCGATAACCGCGCCGCTATAGACCGCCGCCGCCGGGTGACGGGCGCCGCTGCTCTCGGAGGTCGCCGGCGGGCACGGTCGCACCATGTCGGTGCGTGACGCCGCGTCGAGAATGGAGCGGGGAGAGGCTGCCGGGGACGGCGGGGCCGGGCTGCGGCGGGGGATTCGAGCGACCGCGCCGCCGCGCGACGCAGCCCCGCGGCCGCCGGACGCCCGCCCGCGTCGCAGGGCAACCAAATGAACGAGGTCGACGAGGTGATCCGCGAGCTGAAGAAGAACAAGGGCTTCAACGGCTTCGTCATCATGAACAACGACGGCGCGCGCGCCGCGCCCCGCTCGCGCGACCGGGCTCGCTCCGCCGACCGCGCGCGCGCGCAGGCATCGTCATCCGACACGAGCAGATGGAGTACAAGGTGGCCGTCCACCACGCGTACCTCGTGCTCGACCTCTGCACGAAGGCCCGGGAGCACATCCGCACGCTGTTCGAGTCGCCCGAGAACGAGGTCGAGAGCCTCCGGCTGAAGACGGACTTCTACGAGATGATCGTCTCGCAGCACGGCAACTTCACGCTCGTCGTCATCCAGATGGAGGAGGTCGCGGAGCCCGTCGCCGCCGCCGGCGAGAAGAAGGAGGGCGAGGGCGAGGAGAAGAAGGCCGAGTAGGCTCCGCGCGCCCCATAAGCATCGTCGACTGTCGTAGAGACATGCCCAGCCCCCGGGAGAACACACACCACCTAGTAATAGAGCCGCTTCGACGCCGCGAGCTCCGCGCCCTCGAGGACCGGCGTCGCCGTCCAGCGGCCGACGACGAAGTACTTGTCGCCGAAGCCCGGCAGGAGGCCCCGTCGCCGCACGGAGATGGAGCCCGAGTCGAGGATGACCTTGTCGTCGGACGTCGGCAGGTAGCCGGGCGTCGGGTTGCCGTCGGGGACGCGGAGCTCGAGCCTCGAAACCGCCGACTTCGCGGCGTTCAACGCGTCGACCTTCTTCGTGAGCGCGAGGAGGCCGAGGGGCCCCGGGGCCTCCTTGCTGGCGTCGAAGCCGTCGACGTCGGCCTGCGCCGCGAAGACGCCCTGCTTCGCGCCGAGCAGTCCCTTTTTCGCGTCGGCGACGGACGCCTCGTCGAAGGCCGACGCCGTGAAGTAGAGGCGCTCCGCGGGCAGCTCGACGCCCCGGGACTCGACGTCTGTCGCTTCCGACATGTCGAGCCAGAAGCGGAAGACGTTCGGCACGCGGTTCCGCGTGAGCACCCAGGCGCCGGTGCCCGCGGCGACGGTCTGCTTGCCGCCGAGGCCCGTGAACGTCGCCTGAGCCGCGACGGCCGTGCCGACGCCGCCGCGGCCGAGGAACGGCTCGCTCGCGTCGCCCGGGGTGTCCAGGAAGTCGACGTCGGCCTGGAGGAAGAAGCGCGCGCCGGAGGCGGCCCAGCTCTTGGGCATGCTCGACCCGGGCTCGCGGCCGAGGTTGAGCGCGACGCTCCACTTCGGCGGCGACGGTGTCGTCGGCGCGCTGAGCGCGTCGGCGCTGGACGCGCACAGCAGCAGCGCGATCCATGCGGTCGAGCTGCGCTTGGCGCCAAGCCTTGCGCGCATTGTCTGTGTGCCCATGCTTCGTGGCTTGCTGCTCACAGCCGCTTCGAGCGTGGCCGAGCGTCTCGGCCGAGGCTGAGACACGAGCTCGAACAAAATCTTCAACATGAAGTATGTTGAAGTAAAGCTGCCCCGTCGTACGATCCATTGTCCATGGCAGCCCATTGAACTAGCTTCGGAATGATGAGAGTCGTCTATGCATCCCTGGTCTCTTGCTGCCTCTTCGGCGACGCCAAGCTCGTCGTGCCGACGCGGCGGCAATTCACGAAGCAAACGACGAAAGTCCTGGACGCCACGATCATGGCCGCCGGCGCCGGCACGGCCGTGCGCTCGCTCACCGCGCTCGAGGCGCGTTTTCCCGGCAAATTCTTCCTGCCGCCCATGCTGTCCTCGACGGTCATCTTCTTCTCCGGCTATCGTCCGCCGCGGCCGACGGGCGTCGTCGTCTCCGCCGTCGGCGCCGCGCTCGTCGGGACCGCGACGGGGTCGACGTCCATGTCCGTCGCGATCCAGCTCCTCTGGTTCAAGGCCACCGCGTGCTTCTACGCGCCGTCGGCCGTGCTCGCGGGCCAGATGGCCGTCGCGCCCTGGTTCAGCGCCGCCGCGCGCAAGAACTACGTCATGTCGCCCTGGCTCAGCGGCCACGCGGTCATCTGGGCCGCGGCCGCCGCGACGGCGGAGCTCCGCGCGCGGTGCCGCTACGCGCTCACGCGGCGCGAGTTCCAGAGCCTGAGCGCGCTCGACGATTCGGAGCTCCGCGCGATCTTCGACAAGTACGACACGTCCGGCGACGGGTTCCTGGACGCGCTCGAGCTCCGCCTCGCGCTCCGCGCGGCCATGGGCACGGACCGGCCCCTGAGGGAGTGCCGCAAGCTCGTCGCCGCCATCGACGCGGACGGCAACGGCGTCGTCGAGTTCGACGAGTTCCAGGGCGTCTGCCGCTCGGGGCTCCACTAGGAACTTAGCGGTCGCGCGGGGCGCGGGCGGCCGTCGGTGGACGTATCCCACCAGAAGCAGGCCGTGTTGAAGACGGGCGCATCTCCGAACCACGCGGCCCAGCGCGCGGCCGCGTCGCGGACGTACGCCGTCGTGTTGCCGGACGCGTCGAGGTCGTCGTCGCGGAGCGCGCCGAGGAACTTGTTTCGGGGCCGGTCGAACATGAATATGTAGAGTTTCCCGTCGATGATCGCCCACGTGTTCGGCCCGCCCTTGGGACCGAGCGTCGTCTTGCTCCAGAATTTTTCTTCCGCCACGCCCCAGGAGCAGAACCCGCCGAACTGCGGTACATATGCGTAGGGTCTCGTTTCGAATGTCGCTCGATTCGCCTCCGTCGAGAAGTAGAAAGTGTAACCGCCGTAGGTCGCGTTGTGCGCCGCGGAGCCCGCGACGGCGCCGGCGCCGGCGTCGAGCGAAAAGTACGCGACGACGTCGAAGCCGCTCAGCACCGGCCCGGCGGCGGGATCGTGGCACGGCTGGCGGCGGCGGCGCCAGGGCGGCGATTGTCCTCCGGGGACGCCGCGCCAGGGAGGCGGGTTCGTTTGGAACCGAGACGCACCGGGAGGCGGTTGCTTTTGGAGGAACCGGCGGCGGCGCCGCGGTCCGGCTTCGGTGGCCGCGTCCACGGCGCAGCCCACATTGGCAACGAATGCGCCGACCACGAGGGAGACCACGGCTCGAGAGCGCATGCTGCCCAGGATTCACGCGCCACCCATACTGCGCAAATTGAAGCTGCAGTTGCAGCATGTAAATTGTTCACCAGAAACCAAGCGACCTTCCTAAGGCTGCCCTCTCCATTGGCGCCGCGGCGTGCGGACGCCGCGGACACCGCGTCCGCGGCCATGGTGCTGCGCCGCGGCCGGCGGCGGCGCTACGTCTCGAGGCTGGGCGTGTGCCTGGCGCTGCTCGTGGCCGCCTGGTGCGCCGTGACGTTCGTGTCGCTGCGCCACG